CACCATCAAGACACACAAAGTAACCTAATCTGCCCACATATTAGGGTGTTGGAAAACAATAATCCAAGAAGGAAACACATTATCTGGCCTTGTTACTTTACAAAGTAATTTAAATTAATTTTTCCCTAGAGTGGTTAGGGAGCACTGCAACTTGCCCTTGTCTATTCTCTCCAGCTAATGAAGCTTTACCAGAGACTGCTCGTGAATTCCTATTAAGACCTCATCTTAGAGGTTACAGGGCAAAGCAATTTCTGCTCCTGGGAAAAATGCCTATGAATTTGTAATTGTAAGTCCATGTTTGATAGGGATTAGCATCTGAAAGGGGTAGAGTGGTGGGTAGCAGAGAAAACATTATTTCAATTAGCTGAAGAAAAGCAATTTGACATCTGATTATAGTTTACATTTTTAATTTTCTCCTATTTCTTCTCTATTTTTTTTTCCTAATTTTCTGGCATCTGAGGTAATTATTTCCTGAAACTTTCCACCCTCACCATACCAGCCACCTTTCCCTTCTCTTATTTCTGTCTATCATAGTTGAGATTCAAATGTAAATGGTTGCTGAGTTTTTTCCTTTCCCTTCTTCTCTCCAGATTCACTGAATTTGGGGCTGGTGTAGAGGATGCTGTATCAAATCACACTGAAATGGGACATGATATTTCTCTTCATGCCAAGCGGGTGAAGTATGAGGAAGAGGAGGCTTTGCTCCACATCCAGGCTCATGGTCAGGCTTGTGCCCAGCAGCTTGACACGGTGCCAGTGCCTGACTCTCCTAGGCAGAGCCCCAATGCCTAAAGATCCTCTCTGTGCTCAGAAATTACTTCCAATTCCCTCTTTTCCTCCCACCCTCGGCCTTAGCCTTGAGCTCAGCTGTGCTCCATCTATTTTTTCGTGGCTTCTTGGTCTCCTATTTCCTAATGACGATGCAATCAGTTTTCGGGTGGGAGATTCCTCGTGAGAAGGCTTGTTGTTATTTAAGGAAGATCATGAAATCCATCCTTAATGAAAGGATGGGAGAAAACCCTTCCACCAAGTTACACTGAAGCCTGAGATTATCATTTTTATGGGCTTCCAATCTTTCCTGCCTCATGTCTTATCAGCAAATGCAGCTGGAGGCTTCAAAAACCCTCCCAGCTTGCTGCTGATTTTATGGGATGAAGATTAGAGATGATCGGATAGCAAATTATTCATTCCATTCGATATCCCTGGGCAGGAGGGAATATCCAGAGCAAAGTCAGCTCCTTTCTCCCTCTCTGAGCATCACACATTGGGAACCTTCCTATCTGCCACTCCAGCCAGGCAGCAGCTTTCCCCCCACGCTCAGAGGTGATTAGGGGTGCAGAATTCCCTCTGAGCAGATGGAAAAGCCAGGGGGAATCACAGATGCAGGCTCATCCCCCAGCAATAAGGCAAAGCAGAGGCAGGTGGGGTTTCTTCTTGTTGCAGGGATTTTTGGTTTGATTCCTCCCAGCCCTCCAAGGCAGGGTGGGTCATGTAGGTGTTTTCTCTCTAATTTTCCAAGGCTTTGGAGCCTGAGACTGATGTGAATGTGCTGTCAGAGCCCTGGCAGCTCCTGATGTCAGGCACAGAGGAGCAGGGAGCTCAGAGAGGGACAATGGACAGAGGAGAGACCCCAGGGCTGCCCTTAGATGTAGGAGCAGCAGCATCAGGCCCCTGCACAGGGAGGGGAGGGGGTGAGCACTGCCCAGAGATCCATCCCAAAATCAACTGGCGTAAAAAATATCATCCAGAGTGTCCCATGAAGTGCCCATGGGCCACAGAGGGGCTGCTGGGCAGGCCTCAAGGGCAGTGAAGGCCATGGATAAATTCTGCCAGGCCATTGACACTGGGGTTTTCAACAGCACACAGATAAGAAAATACATGGCAGTCTAAAGGCATTTTTAAAGAGGAGAAGTGGGGCACAGAGCTGTGATAGATGAAAACCCAGAGCAGGAGCTGCCTTTTTCTGCTGCCTTTTACCCACAGTGGCACACTGAGCCAAGAAAATGCCCTTTTCACAGTGGTTGTAGCTCTGGCTCTCTCCTGGCAGCATCCAGAGCAGGCAGGATTTGCAAGACAAGTGCCAATGGGAAATGAGAGAACCCTGGCACAAGCAAAGAATACTTGGTTTGGATGGTAGACGACAAGAGAAATAAGAAATTTTACATTTGATTTGTGGTGGTTGGGTTTTTTTTTTGTTTGTTTGTTTGGTTGGTTGGTTGGTTTTTTTGGGGGTTTTTTTGGTGGTTCTTTTTTTGGTATGGAGTTTTCATATTTTATATCAGCTATTGAAATGTAATAAATTTATAACTACTTTTCTTCAAAAAATTACAATCTCTTTAGGGAATGTTCAAGTTTGCTGCCATATAGTATTTTTTATTTTTATGGCTCTGTCTGGGAGACAGGGAGGAAATGGAGAGGATGAAAGAGGGAAGGAAGGAGGGAGGAAGGAAGGAAGGAAGTGAAGGAGGTGAAGAAGAAAGAAAACGATTTCTATTAAAACACAGAGTCCCACAATGTTTTTCAAAGAGGAACTGGCATCTGTGCTTTGAGATATATCATCCAGGAATGCTGCTTTGAGCAAATTTTAATTTTTACCTAAAAGATATGTACTTTTTAGGGTAAATAGTAGCCAATTTTTGGAGTATATGAGTGTAAAGCCTGAAATTCCAATCCCTGCCTTGTGTAAAATCTGTTATACAGGCAACTGCTCACATGGGTGTTTGAAAGAGCATTGAGCTGGCTCTGACCAAATGTTGCCAGGGTGATTTGTCCTTCTGTGCCTCAGTTTCCCTCAGCTCTAAAATGGACCTGTAGGGCTTTGTCTCACCATGGCTGGGTTTTGCTGGAGGCTTAAATGAGAGATTTCCATCACCAGCAGCAGAAACACAGAGTTATTTGTCATTGCATGTCCCAAGACATGGTCAGGATGCCGAAAGGAAAACCTGGCTGGCAAATAATTTGTTGAAATTTCAGACTTTGCCCCTGCAGTGAGGCTGCTACAGTGACTTGCAGCTTCTCATCCCCCCAGGCCAGACCCAGGGATATGCAGGGATATGCAGCCAGGAGGTGCCACGGGAGCTTTGTCACACAGGCACCCTCCTTCCTAATGGCTGTGGGGCTAAACGTGCTTTGGAGCACAGAGGAGCTTTCAGATAATCACTGAGCGATTCCCTGGCCTCACCGGTGAGCCAAAAGTCATTGACTTGTCTTAAACGTCATATAAATGTGGAAACATGCAATTGGTGAAGAATTATTTGCTCCTCAGGATGGAGCTGACAGCAAGACCGCTGTCTGAAAGGCACAGAGCCCTGCCTTCATCCCAGGGCCTGGGCTGTCATCTCCTGTCACCCCAGCTCACCATGGCATGTGGATGGATCCTTGAGACCTCCTGTCTTTGGGAAATCAGCCCCCAGTGCCTGGAGCTGTGCAGAGCAGAGCCCTGGGGTGATTGCACAACCCAGAGTAGGTGGAGAAGGAACCTCAGCACCCAGCCCCAGGCGTGGCAGGGGAGTGGACAGCAGCAGCAGAACGTCCCAGACCTTGAATTTCCCCAGGGCAGCAGCAGGACCAGCTTCTCCAGGACTTCTGATCTGCTGATAAAGCCTTCTGCTCCAAACAGCCAGGCTGCTTTTGCTGGGCTTTGCAGAGAAAAGCAACAGGCAGGCAGCAAAGATGGAGAGATCCGCACACTCTCCCACTGGGTTTCCCCAGGTCTTGGGGAACCCAAAGTTCACTCTCGTTTTTACTTACTCACAAGCCATTCCTTTTCCTGTGTAATATGATTAGATTGTTTTACAGGGCCTAATTATGGGCCCCTGTTGTGACACTTCCTTGCTGGGTGCATAGGAAAGTCCCTGTCCCGCTGATTTCGCAAGCAAAAATGAGTGGGGTTGGCAGTGGGGTTATCCTACGCTGCAGCTGGGGGCCTGGCCATGGGAAGGGATTTGGGAAAGAGTTGGGAACTGGCCTTCAGTCTTGTACAGCTCAAAGTCAGATCTGGTTTGTCTTCAGGATAAATGATATTATTGTAAATACAGGATAAAGTGTTGAGGTGAAGGAGGGCAGTCCTCCTCCCGCAAGTGAGCATTCCTGAGGGTGCTGCACGTTCCTGAGCATGGGTCCCATGGGGATAAGTGTTATTTGCTTCTCAGGATGGAGCATCCAGGGGAAATCGCCAAACCCAGGGGTCAGGGGCTCAGATGCAGCTGAGGGGTTACAAAGATGTTGTGACACCTCACAAGAAGAGTGACAATGGAACCCCTGGCTCACAACTTAATAATTTCCTTCAGGAACAACTGAAGTTTCTCAGCTGTGAAGCCAAATATCTTTTATGCTTCCTGTGGGGTGGGTTTGCCAGTCATCCAAACCTGACATGGACTGGAAAACTGCTTAACTCATGACCTGCAACTCTCTCTGTCCAGCAGCATTTGTGCAGCTTTTGTGAAGAGCAAGCCTTGCAGCCTGCTGCAGCTCTTTGGCTGTTTTTACCTCTTCTGGTATTGAAGAAATTCTGGGGACAGCCCTGATGACTCAATAAAATGAAGGCTGGCTCTGCTCTGTTTAATAGTGTCACCATTAAACAAGGTGTGGGAGGCGAGAGGCAGTACCCAGCAGGTAGTCTTGTCCATTAACTGGATGTTTTAGAGTCACCAATGTGTTTTTCTGGGTTACTAGTGACACTTGTTGAAAAGAAAAAGCAGGGAAGTGAGTGGGGGTCCCACAGGGTGGGAAGGAATGTCAGAGCTGGGGCATTGCTGGGCTCCCCCCGTTCTCCTCCTGTGGGGAGGGGACCTGGGGGACACCGCTGGGGAAGAGTTTCACCCATCTTGGTCTCGTTGTTTTCCTCCAAATGTTTTGTGCAAATGTTTCGTACCCGAGCTGCCTCCCACGCCCCACCTAAGGGATCTGTCAGGTTCAAACCACCGCGCCCCAAATTCCCCTCCGGCTCCGGCGGGACGGGGCAGGGAGGCACCTCCTCCCCGCACGCAGCAGGATTTGAATAAGCAGGTGGGAGCATGGGCCTTCCTGCTCGCTCGGGGCGTTTGATGATTGACCAGGGCCGGTGGCTGCGGCAGCGCCGTGCCCCGCGCAGCCCGGCTCCCGCCGCCATGCCCGCCCGCCGCCTGCTGCTCCTGGCGCTGCTCCTGCAGCTCCAGCCCGCCTGCTGCCAGGAAGGTAAGGGCGCCAGGCTGCTCGCATCCCGGGAAATAGGGGCAGGGAGAGGCAGCCAGCCCCGGGCAGGTGGGAGCTGCTGGTGGGGGACAGGGGACAGCTGTGCAGGAGCGGCTTGGGAAGGGGAAATTCATCCCTGCTCCTGCCTGAGCTTAGCTCTGGCTTCACACCAGGATGGGTGGGTGCCCGTGGGTTCAGGGGTGTTGCTGGAGCCGGGATATAGAGACTTTCTACCTGTTTTGCAGAAGGCTGAATCTGCCACCTGAGGTTTATCTGAGGTGCTTGCACAGAGATAAACTGCTCTGCTTTACCTCTGGCAGGACTGTGCACTGAGATGAGTAATCTGTTTTCTTAAGGCTTGTTTTTTCTTTCTTTCTTTTTTCTCACTCTTATCCTTGAGCAATTGTTGTTCTGGGTTGCTCCCTGAGCTCTCTGATCCTCTTGTTAATCTGTAATTTTGATCATTGCTGAGGAGAGGGAACAAATATTTTCCTCAGCAAATTGACCTCCTCTTCTCTTCCCAGACTAAACAGAGAAATTTCCTATGATAAGGTATTATTTTTTGGAAGTTCACCAGGGGCTTCTCTAGTGCTAGAAATAATGAGGAGTAATTAAAACTCCTCTGGTGCCGCCAAAGTCCCGGAAAATTCCCTCCCCCTTTCTCCTCCTGATGCCCCAGCCCTGACCACTCTTCCTGTGTTTGTTTACTAACTTGCTGAGAATTTAACAGTCTGGAGTGTCCATTGTCAGGAGGGTTGAAAGTTTTGCTTGGAAAGAGTTAAAAAAAAAAAAAAAAAGTCTTGAGCAATTGTTGTTCTGGGTTGCTCCCTGAGCTCTCTGATCCTCTTGTTAATCTGTAATTTTGATCATTGCTGAGGAGAGGGAACAAATATTTTCCTCAGCAAATTGACCTCCTCTTCTCTTCCCAGACTAAACAGAGAAATTTCCTATGATAAGGTATTATTTTTTGGAAGTTCACCAGGGGCTTCTCTAGTGCTAGAAATAATGAGGAGTAATTAAAACTCCTCTGGTGCCGCCAAAGTCCCGGAAAATTCCCTCCCCCTTTCTCCTCCTGATGCCCCAGCCCTGACCACTCTTCCTGTGTTTGTTTACTAACTTGCTGAGAATTTAACAGTCTGGAGTGTCCATTGTCAGGAGGGTTGAAAGTTTTGCTTGGAAAGAGTTAAAAAAAAAAAAAAGTCCTTTAATAAGGATTCAGAGCCTGGCACAGCTTCCTTAAACAGCAGAAAAGACAGGCCAGCCCAAGCTTTCCAAACTCAGAGAAGGTGTATTAAAAAGCAGGTCTGTGTCTTCAAATTAGCTGTTGAGTGTGGAAATGGAACTGCAACAAGTGCACAGGCTTATTCGGGCACCAGCACTTCCCTCGGTCTGGTTTGTAGCTGCCGATGTGAGGAGACACATCTGCCAGGGCTGCAGATTCCACGCTGCTTAGCTTGGCTTTGGAGATCTTGTTTGTGGGGGAAAACCCCATCATTGCCATGGGGCAGCACAGAGAGGAGGTGGCAGAGCCCGAGGGGCAGGCTGACCCAGGAGGGGCATCCCCGGTGGAGCATTTTTCCAGGAACGCAGTCCTGTTTGCACAGGTGAGACTCATCCTTTCTGCCATCCCTCCTGGCAGGGCAGCAAGGTGTGCTGGTGGGACTGCAGCCAGGCAGTGCCCCCGAGGGCTGGGACACAAACATTTACTCCCTGAATAGATCCTATCAAGCTCCTGCTTCTGCCTGATCCCCATTCCTCCTTTCTTATGCCCGTGCAAGTTTCCCAGCGGGTATTTCAGAGGCATTTGCCATTCCCTTACCATCCTTATCTCCCCCTGCAGCCCGGCCCCACATGATCTCTCAAAGCCAGAAACCCTTGATTTTGGTTTGGTGTTTTCCCTTTTGGTTTTGGATGCTCTGGAATCTGGTGGAAACAGCCACAGGAGTGAGATTTCACTGGCAAAAACATCCAGTACCTCTTGAGCATGCTTGCTCCAAGGAGGTCTGCTACCACTTTTCTACCCCCCTCCTTTCCTGGAAGATCACGAGATGCAAATTTGGCAGTTTAAGTCATTGCTGACTTCATTCCCTGGTTGCCCTTGAACTTCCTTAACCCCAGAGGAACCTCACCAAGGGCTGGACCTCCTGCAGGCTTAGGCTGGAAACCGTGGGTCTGGCAGGAAAAATAAACTACAACTAATAAATAAATGTGGCCAGCAGCCAAGGGCAGAGTGAGGGAGGATGCAGAGCGAGCCAAAATTCGGCCAGGAGGCAATAGGTGTGTTTGGGGCTGCACTCACAGCAGGGTGGGCAGCAGGGCAGGAGCATCCTTGACCAGCAGGCAGGGCAGGAGGGGACCGAGCCCTGCTGTTCCCACTGTCACCACCCCTGGCTGCCAGCAGCAGCAGCCTGCTGATACAATGGTATTTCAGTGGAAACACGCTGATACGAGAGGGAATTTCCGTCTGAGCTCCTCCTGCTTGAGTTTCTGCTCTGGGACCTTGCAGAAACACAACAAACGTCTCTGTGGGGAGAGGGGGCTGAGAGATGCTACTCAGGGCTGTTCTCACAGCCCCTGACAGCAGAGTGCCACTGCTTTCCAGACTGGCACAGCTGGTCAGGCTGATTTCACTTCCAAGAGGAAAAAAAGAGCTGTGTTTTGGGGGTCGAGGTTTTGCTGTTGTTTTATTTATTATTTTTTATTTAAAAGTCTCTTGCAGTAAAGACTTCAGGAGCTGGGGATGCTACCAAAGGACAGCCTCCTTTCCCAAAATCAGAGGGAGGAGAGGAGAGCTGTTAGCAGCAGAGCCAGTGTGAAGCTGTGTGTGGGTTAGGAGTTGGCACGTGTGGAGCACGCAGCCTGCTCTTACTACTGCTAGTAAAGATTATTTTCTGTTTGTAGCAGAGGGCTGTCTCCTGTGAGACAGAGGAAGTGTTCCTGTGAGGGAGACTGAAGTATCTGCTGCTCATCCTGGGGCAGCTCAGCCTTGCAGGTGTCCCTGGCTGGGTTTGGGTGTCCTGGGGCTGATGCTGAGGCTGGCAGGTGTCACCCTCCAGCTGCCCCAGCTGCCCATGCAGAGGGACCACAGCATGTGCAGGGGTTGGTGTTTGGATGAGGAAAAACTGGATCTGAGTAAATAGTCATTAAATCTCAAAGGGATGTGGCTGTATGGACAAGGTGTCCTTTAGTGCTGATGTGATGACACTTAAGGATGGGTTTGACTATGTCTGATTGCTCCATTCAGAAAAATCCAAAATCCAGTGGGAGGCATGGAGCAGCCATCCCAGCAAGAGCTGGGACAAGGTTTCCTCTTCTCCCTGTCTGCCCTTGTATCCTGCCCACATCCAGGAATGTGTCTCACAGCCTTCCCACCTGAGGCTGTATTCCTGCTTAGGTCTGGATAGAGAAAAATGAACTTGTCAGTCTGTTCCATCCCTGGGGGAAATGGGGCTATCCCAGCCAGCTCCCACCCCTCCACCCCAATGCTGCTTGGGCCCTGCCAGCCCCACCTGTTCTTTGTGCTGAGGTTATTCCTCTGAATGCCTCAGCCTTTACTTTCTGTCATAAAACATTTGCTGCTCTGGAAACTTATTGAATGGTGCATTTTACCAAAATCCACAGTGACAACTTTTTTGCTGTGGGCAACCAAATCTTACACTCTCCCTGTTATGGAGTCCTTATTTTACCAGTCACTATTTGGAAAATATCCCAGGAATGATGTCTGTGGCATCTGGGGACAGAGAATAAGCAGTTTGCTGAAACTCCTCTGCCTTCCTTCCTTTGGCAAACATTCTCCTTCACTCCCTTCCTCCATGTCCCCCAGGCCTTTTCTCTTCCATCACAGGGTCGCCAGCCCCTCAAGGTGCATGTTTATGTATTTGTGTGTGGATGTCAGTGTATATGGGGCCCCAAGGCTGCCAGGCACCACATTCCACATGCAAACACCAGTGAAAACGCTGTTAATTGTACTTTATTTCATTGCTATCACCCAGGTAAGCCTGCCTGAGCAGACAGCAACGTCCTGCTCGGATTTGCAGGATCAAGCTCTCATCTGGACCTTGCTGAAGCTGGATGGGAGGAGCTGGGCAGATAAAGCCCGAGGATGAATTCCTAACCCGTGTCTCTCTCCCTGCAGCGCGGGGCAGCCTCCAGCCGTGGTCGCAGGGCGTCATCGCAGTGGTTGTGTTTCTAGTCCTGGTGGCCATCGCCTTCGTGGTCAACAGGTTCTGGTGTAAGGATAAAGTGTAAGTGTGGGAGGTGGCTCTGAGCTGGGCTCAGCTGCCTTGGCACGTGTCGCTTCCAGCAGCCTCCGTGCGTGTGCCAGCGTTGGGAACACCGTGCTTGCTGTGCCGGGAGGTGGGCTGGGAGAGCAAAGACTCCCTGTCCTCATCTCCCTGTCCTTTTGTCCCTGTCCTGGTCTCTGATCCCTGTTACTGATTGCCAGGTGGGAGCTTGCACCACACAAATTCTGCCGTGAGAAAAGTGCTGTGCTGGGAATGGCAAAGCCACGGCATCGTGGCTGGATCTCATGGGAATGTGTTCAGGGGGCTGGCCCAGCCTGGTTTTCTGGGCTTTTGGGGGTGCAGTTCCCATGTTCCTTAGATCCATTGGATAATAACCCTGAACCAGCTTTTTTTGCAAAGCAGACAGAGCCAAGTCATGAGAACACACTGAGAGGAGCTGGGAGAAAGGGAGGTAGCCAAGCAGTGGCAGTACTCTCCACCTGGAGCCCATGGCACAGGCAAATGTGGTGTCTTTATTCACATCTGAAAAAGGCTCTGTGGGATGGGTTAACTCTTGCCTGATGCTGGCCAGGCAAAGTCACAGGCTGCTGCTCCTGCTCAGCCCAGCAAGGCCAGCTGGCTAAGTTGCCTTGAACCTGAGCCCAAAGACAACAGGGGATAAAGACCAAAAGCACCCCACATCGATTTCCCAGTTCCTCTGCACTGGTGGGGTTGCTTTAGGCTGGAGTCTTCTTGCACCTGTACGTTCCTGCAGCCTCTCCAGGCTGGGCAGGTGGGCAGCTGGTTTATCCTCTGAGCATCAGCAGGTCAGCTTTAGCCCCAGAGGCATTTTAAACAGGTCCCTTTGGGATGCATTCTGGGTCAATGCGTGATACAGCATGTGTATACATATATATATATATTTTCATATGGTCTGATTTGCCACTGTGGTCTTTGTTTCCCAAAGAGGAACCTTTGTCCTCAAACCGAAGGAACCCCCAGCTCATGGAGTGGCAGGCAGGGATGGTGTTTCCCACTGCTGCCTGTTCCTGGCTGCCTTTTCCCAGCCTGGAGGCAGAGGATGCTGAGGAGGGCTTGAGGAGGGAAGGTGCCTTGTTTTAATTAATCTGGCCTTTCTTCAGAAGAGCAGGAGCGAGGCTCAGCAGCCTGGAGCCCTGCCAGCTCTGCGCTGTCACTGTGACAGCAGCTATCAGCTCGAGCCACTGCCTGTTTGTGACAGGCTGTTCCTTGGAAAAGCCTCTGAAATTGCCCTTGGGCAAGTGCTGGAGGCAGGGCCGTGCATGCAGGGTGGACTGCACCCACCCTCAGCAGCTCAATCCCCCTGGTGCTGCTCAGGCTACAGGCTCGCTCCAGAGCCGAGCTTCTGGAGTCTGGCTCCAAACACCCCATCCCTGCCCAGTGGCTCCTTCTGCAAGTGATCCAGGCTCACTTTTGAGAGAGAGCAGCTTGGCTTTGCTCACATGGATGTGCACAAGGACAGCCCTCCTGCGCCAGGGCTGAGGCACCAGAGGAGCCATGACTGCTCTCTCTGTGTCCATCAGGATCCACAGGGACTATTTTGCAACAGATTACACAGGAGTAGACTGGAAAAACCAGTTAGCAGGAGAAAACAATCCCACATATTGACAATGAGTGCTGCTGACTGCCAGCACAGTGCCGGGAATCACCGCTGCAGAGCCAGGGGCTGGCACTTGGCACAGCCTCTGCAAACCTGCAGTCAGGGTGCTCCTCCTTGTCCTTGTCCTGCTGGGAAGGAGGCTGAGCAGGGTGTCTCAGGACAGAGTCACATCCAGGGCGTTTATTGTCTCTGTGGTGTCATCACCAGTAAGAGGCTGCTCCCCTGCATGGCTCCTTTGCTGCTCTGTCCAAACTCCTCTCTTCTCTCCCTCCAGGGAAAATGCTGAGAATGTGGTGAGTGTGGAGGACAAGCCAGATGCTGTCACATCCAATGGCCATGAAGGGAGATACGTATCAGCTGCAGCTGACTTCAGGTGAAGGACCTGCTCAAACTTCTTCCCCAGGGCTCCCAGGCTCTGTTCTGTTCCCCTGGGGACAGCTCAGACATGCAGAGCTGTGGTCTCACCTACTCATGGTCTTACACATCCCATGCACCTATTTTTGGGGCTTTTAACCTTTCCAGGGGCTAAGCACAGGGCAGTGAAGGAGTATCCCCTTCTCCCTCATCTCTCCCTATCCCTGCAGCTGAGCCCTACAATCCATGCACCACCTCACAACCTGCTACACCATATTTTTCTTATGCTACCTCACAGCTTTCCAACAGAAGAAACCACCAAAAGTGACCACCAGTCACCACATAGATGGTGACAGCCAAGACAGCCCTCACTAACAATTAGAGCAATTCCCACCCCACACTTGGCTCTGGTCCTTTCAGGATAACCCTTCCTGTGGTCCCCATCTCACCCTTCACTCAGTGCACAGCTGGCACCAGCAAGGTCAGGACACCAGTGGTGGCTTTGGGGATGCTGGTCTTGCTGGGACTGAGCTCAGCACTGCGCTTGTCCCTCTTGGTGCAGGTCCAAAGAGAACCAGCACGCCTACGAGAACACCGTGGAGCCCGAGGAGAAAGTGATCACCACGGCCATGTAGCAGCACCCACCCGCTCCCTCCTCCTGCTCTCGATTCGCTTCCCGCTCTTGCGACGGGCATTTTCACAGAGACCCTCTGCCCTGGCACCCCCTGGGAGTGAGGGGCCCTGGCCTCTCCACGGCACCACCACCTCCTGATCTTCTCCCTTTCCACCCGTGGGACATGCTCCTGTCCCTCTGGGGCTGGTGTCCCCACGGGCATTGGTCCCCAGGAGGGGTCTGGAGGTGCCACCTCTCCCGCCTGGTGGTCCCCCCACCTGGTTGGCGAGGTTGGTGTCCCAAGTCCCAGGAGGGTGTTGACCTGTTCAAGACACAGAGGGGATCCTGCTGGGTGCCTGGGACATCCCCGCACTCCCAGCTGCCCTCCAGGGAGCTGCTGATGGAAAACCTGCTCTTTTCTCCGCAGTTCACCCTCCTTTTTATGACCTACACCGTGCATTTTAATGTCAGAACAAACCTCCCCCTCTGTACATATCTTCCTGGTGAGCAATAAAGAGAATTGTTGCCTATGACAGTAAAGAGGGTCGTTCTGCTAATCAGCCAAAGGACTTTCTGGCATCTCACAGCTCTCCCAGCCTTCAGGCAGTTGGGAGAATGAAGGACATCAGGGAATGCTCAGCATTTGGACTGCCCCAGAGCCTCAAAGGGATTTACAGGGAAGTGAGAGCATCATTCCCCTCCGTTTGCCAGGTGGGGTTACTGAGCCACAGAAACAATCTCAGTGCTGCTTCATGGGTGAAAGGCAGCACTCCCTGAATCCCACTGACCCCAATGAGCAGCCCTACAGCCAGCTGGGAGCCATTTCCAGGGCTGTCAATGGCAGTCACTGATCAGTGCTGCCAGGAAGTGGCTGGGGGCTCCTCTGGCCAGTGCTGGCTGTCCTGGGGCAGCTGGCCACAGTGCAACCTGCTCCTGCCAGGCTGCTCATTAACCAGGGTCTGCCTTTTGCTGTGGTGGGGACAGTGCCAGGGCCACCATGGGAACAACGAGCTGTTGTTCTAAGCTGTGGCATTTGTAGATTGAAATGAGAGACCTCTGATGCTTCAGCCGTTGCTGGAACATCAGTTACTCCGGTGGCATGAAGGGTCCTCTTCCTGACCAGTTAAGAAAGAATTAAGGGACTCTGCAACCAAGGGCAGCCCAGCTGGAGCAGCACTGGGGTGGGAGGTTTGTAAGGCATTTTTGGCAGCCCCTGGTTTTGGGGGGAGTGAGGTTTTCTAGAGCTGTGCTGTGCACTTCCCACAGCGGAAGCTGCTGATGTTCCTAGCAAGGGAGACAAAAAAATTCAGACAGGTGTATTCCAGTAACAGCCCCACCTCAAAGGCGTTTTTGCTAGGGCCTGAGGTAGGTGAGTATTTTGAAAATGCAAAGTCTTGGCATTGAGTAATCACAGCTCCGGCTGAGAAATTGCATGGGAGTCAAAGAAAACAGGCAGAGGGGTTAGAGGGGTCAAGCCCTCAGATGTGAAGGCAGGATGGCTGCATCCCCAGCATCATGTCAGAGCTGTTTCCATCTACCACCCTCCCTTGGGTAGCTGGAGGCTGAGCCAGCCCCAGGCTGGGTCCTGGACCACCCCACTTGTGCTCCTGATGGATGCTGCTCCCCTGACTTTCCTCTCACAGGTGCCAAACATCACGTGGGTTTGGAAAAAGCCAAGCTCCTCAAGGTTCAGTGGTACTGCTGCACTCAGCAGGGTTTAAGGATTAGTCATTGCCTGTTCCTGCCCTGTCAGCACTTGGGCTGGGGGTGTGGCAAGAGGAAGGGAACCCATTAATTTTTTACCTCTCAGTTGCAAAAGATGTTAAAAATGTCATCCTTATAATGAGTAACAACAGGAGTTCATTCCCTGCCCTGTGTACACAGTGAATGTGTGACAGATGCCCGAGCTGTTCACCCTGCAGTGCCTGGATGTGAGTTTGGAGTGCAGGTGTGCTCAGAGGGTCTCAGTGTCCCTTTCCCCACGGATCCTTGCCATGGCTGTAACTCTGAGCAAGGACAAGTCACTGCTGGGCTTGCCCAGGAGCTTCCCTGCTTGGTCTTACCACAACCAGTGCCCCTTTGGAGTCCACTTCCCTGGGGAAAGAGCCCTGTGCAGGGGCCAGTGCTATGTCCTAGCAGGATCTCACCTCTGCAGTGCCCAGGGTGCTGTCCTGCCTCAGTTTCCCTCGTCTGTGTGTGAGGCAGAAGCCAAGGCTGATGGAAGCTGCCTTCCCGCGAGCTGTGCACTCGCTCGCAGATGCTTCTCGGTGTGATCCTAAAAAGAACAAAAGGGAGCGAGCATAAATGAAATTTATTGTTGGAAAATCTTAATTAGATTTTAAGCCCCAAAGGGAGAAAAGTGAGGTATTATCTGACACAGCTAATGAGTGTTAAGGGTCCATTGTTATATTTCTTGTTTACCTTTCTGTAGTGGCTGATACAGCCCTGATCCTCGTCTGTACTGCCATAATTAGGATATCTCATCTCTTGCTGATAGGGTCGGGATGCTCTTTAAAGCACAATGCTGTCTCATCCCTCCCTGGCAGGATGAGCGTGATTGGGAAGACAACTTCTGGCATGCCAGTGCTCCTGCCTTCCACACTGTGCCCATGAGCTGGGGAATGTCCTCCAGAGTCTGGGCTGTACCTGAGACCCCCGGGTGAGGGGCAGCTCCCACAGCCTCAGAGACCTCTCTGAAGGGCCTAAGCCAACTTGCCTGAGGGCCAAATCCCCTCCAACACCTCTCTCCACAAGCACAGTGGGGTTAAAGTGTCCTTCACCAGCCTCCCCACGCCCACCAGTGAAGGGTAAGGACACCACGAGTTCTCCATCCTGCCCCCCATTCCGTAGTGCCATTATCTCTGGAGCCTTGGGCTTCAGGAAGATGTCCAGGGTTGTGTTCTGCTGCAGACAGGATAGTCTCCTCTGGGGCAGAAAAGATTCAGGGTGGGGTTTTTTGCATCCCCACTTTGTTACAAGTGTATCATGACTTTTGTTTGTGACCTAGGAGGGTGCAATCCATCTCTTGGAACCCCAGATAATGAGATATTTTGTTGAAAGCCACCTTTACTTTGATGCTTCCCTGATCTCTCCTGAGGCTCTTTAGCTATGAAGGTTTGAGATTTTTCCATTCCAGCTGTAACTGGAGCAGTTTGGGCAGGTGGACACCTACAACATAAATTATCCCAAGGCAGTTTAATTACAGATTTGCTGTATTCAGGTAAACTGCTGCTGGAAGCAGCACCAGCTCTATCCCTGCACCTGAGCAAACCTGGGGTTTATCTCCTGGCATTGGGCACCTTGACACCCAGGAGGTGTGATCTGGATCTTCAGAGGAAAAAATGGATCCTGTCCCACCCCTGTGGTCCTTTGGGTGGGGAAGAAGCCCAGCCACCCAGGTGGAACCAGGAGCACGGCATGGAGGGGTGGCTGTGTGTGGGCAAGGGGGCTGCAAAGTTTTTGGTCTCGATTCAAGCCACTGAAAGCCAGAAGAAAAATACCATCTATTGTTGGTTTATACACCCGTAGTAGCCAAACAAACATCCCCAGAGCCTGTCCTTATCACTTTATTACACCTGCTAGAGTGAATAGATTAAAGAGAACGGGGGAGGGGGGAGAAAGCTGAAGAATCCAGCAGAAAAACTGGGTTTTGGGATTGTTAATTATTCTCTGGGGTCTCTAATCTTTAACTGGCAAACAGCATCACTAACTGTCTTAAAGCCCCTCCTGGAACATCCTGATAATAAGCCATCTGCATGAAGGCACCCCGTTATCTGCCCTCCTCCAGCCGCCTGTGACATGGCTGGAGTGGGAGATAATGAATGTGTGGTGTGTAATAAAGACACGTCATTCATGATTATCGGCCTGATACCCAACCTTTTAGCTCCATTGTTTGTGCTTCAAAAAGAAAAAAAAAAAAAAAGGAAAAGAAAAAGAGAAAATAAAAAGGAGAAGGGAAAAAAGGAAAAGGGAAATTTTTGGTGCTATGGATTGTCCCGGGGTCCCCGAGGTGTCTCCGTGCCAAAGGGGCTGGCTCTCGCAGCATCTCCCAGAGGGTTTGTTGGTACTCGGGAAGGACTCGCCCTGGATTGGCGGCTGCTGTAGCCATGGTGACGGAGGAGCGAGCTGAGACAGCGCAGAAATGTCACCGCCTGCCAGGGAGACACTTGGGGCAAATGCAGGGGCGATTAGATCTGTGTCACTGCCTGCTGCCCGGCTCCTCACACAGCTCCCGTGCTGCTCTCCCGGCCGTTTGGTGGTGCCTTGGCAGAGGAGGTTATCTCGTACAAGCTGCTGTCCAGAAACTGCCACCGTTTGAAGGTGGGGGGATGTTTGTGCTGCTCAGTTTGACCTGGCTGAGCTGAAAACTGGAAGAATTTTCTCCTGGTTGCTGCTGCATTAGGGCTTCATGGTGCATTGGTGCTGCGAGACCTTCCCTCAAAATCTTTGGCCCTTCAAACTGCTAACCTGGTTTAAACATGATTCTTAACAGGAAGAGATTTTAAAGTGTTTGGCTCTGCTTACCTCAATTACTGTCATAGCTGCCTGGAATAGCAATCCATTTTTTGCATCAAAAATGTCAGCAGTTTCTCCTCTCTTTCCCAAGCAGGTTACCAAGAGCAGTTTCCCTGGAGAAAGTCTCTGCTGGAAGTGGTTGGGGTTGGCCATTCATAATCTAGCAATCAGAAGGACACTTGGAAACCAAATAGGCAGCTTTGGTTATGGCAGTGAATGGGTGATGGCCTCAAAACACAGGCCACTGTACAGTCCATGGGGTGGGCAGCAGCTGGGGGTCCTAATCCCTCCATTCCCAAACCAGGAAATGCTGTAGTGACACCTCTGAGTGCCATTAGGTTTGCTTTGGAGCCCACCACCAAGGAGACTGGGATGGCTCTTTGTGACCAAGGGCACCCAAAACTCATTTCTTGGACCACCTGCTGGAGAGCAGATAAGCACAGCTTCAAGGTGGTTTGCCTCTTCCCAGATGGCGGCTGAAATGTCTGACAATCAGGATTTTTCAGTAACGAAAAGGTGTTTTTAAACCACTGTCCTCTGAAGGGCTGGCTGTGCTGGAGCTGGGGAGCAGGACAGCAGGAGTCTGACCTTCCAGACCTGAGTCCACCAGCGGTGCCAGGGTGGTGGCACTGGCATCTGCACAACCTGCACCCAGCCTCCTTCTGCGGGTGAGAAGGGGAGGGTTGGGAGGAGAGGAACTTGGTCTTCAGCTGCCTTGCAAAATAAACACAAGCTGCACCTTGCTGGTTAATCTCAGCATCCCTGTCCCTTTTGGTACCCACACAACCAAAACAAAGGTCTGGATCCAGCCAGAGGAGAATTCTGTTTCTCCAGGTGAGGGTGCAGCAGGCGGCAGGGATGGGGAGCAGGAGGGCTGCAGGAGCTCAGTCAGATGGGGAGGTGCTCAGGTCTGACTGTCCTGATCTGGCCATCAGCAGGGAGCTGCTCAGGCAGACAGACAGGCAGACAGGCAGGCAGACAGGGAGGCAGACAGACACGGTTTGGATAGGTTGGTGCCTGCAGTGATCCTGGTGGTGCCAGTGCTGGGGTGACAGCTGCACAGCCTTGTCTGTCACCGTGGCATGGCACACATGCAGGCCTTGGTGCCTTAGTTTCCCCTGATGCCCGCTGAGTGTCCTGGCCCTAGCAGTGACAAACTTCCCCTGGGCTTTGGGAAATGCCCCAAACACACGGGGGACTCTGACAGAGTGGCTGCTCTGCCGAGGGAGGGGACAGGGATGTCCCCAGGGACAGGACACCTCGTCTGCCATGCTGGGCCTGGCCGTGCTGCCTGCCAGGCCCGGGGGTTTTACCAGGAACCAGGCAGGACTTTTTCTGGGTCTCCCACTGCCACCTACTGATCCATTGCACACCCTGGACCTGCAGCTCATCCAGATGTCCACCTGGACTGGTGCTGGAAAAAGGCTCCCTGTACCCCCACAAGCCCAGTTCCAGGGCCAGTGCTCACCTGCACCCCTTGGCAGGCCTGGAACTGAGCAGCCTCAGCCTCTGCAGGACAGAGTTTGAGACTCACATCTCTTCTTGTTTTATTTTGCAAGCTGACTTTGTTCTTACCACCAGCACTTTTGTGTGTGTGGTGTGTATTTCTGTTTTGCTTTGTGTGACCACAGAGCATTTCAGTTGTTTCCTTACCACTGAAGTGCCTGGAGTCACAGGGGAGGTGATGGATGGTGTCGGATCTGTGGAAACAGGCTCAACAGGGTGCATGGAAGCAGTGCTTGTGGCTTGAGAAACACTGACAGCACTGCACCCTTGGGTGCAGCCTTGCCTCTGGCCTGCTGGGACTCCTCTTGTACCCTGCTGGGCCCCCAAATGCAAAGGAAGCCAAAGTCATGCCTGGAGATCATCCCCACAAGGCTTTATTTTCATTTCAGAGAGGAGAACAGTGCTGATCACACACTGTTTCCAGCGTGCCAAGTGCTTCCTCAGGTTAGCAGATGGCATTTTCTGTGCTGGCTCCTGAGCACCCTGAGCTCAAGGAAGTTGAGAGCTGGGGCAGAAAACAACCACAAGCATTCATCTCCATAATGGTGGGCGCAGTGCCAGCCCCAGAACAGGAATTGTTGGGAGGGGGGTGTGTGGGGATGCAGAGGGGCCCTGCTGGCCAGGCACACCCAGGCTGGAGGCAGGGCAGGGGCTGTGCTGGGGCAGTGCCCAGGCTTTAGGCATCCCTGCAAACCACGCTGGGTGTTGTTCACTGCCAAGCCCAGTGGGGAACTCACAATGGGACAAATCTACAGGCAGGTGACAGAAGTCCTGTCAGGGAGTGTGTGAGGGCAGTTTGGAGATGAAGAGGTGAGCAGGACATGGAGGATGCCCCTGGAGGTGAAGGATGAGCCACAGAAATGCTGTGGAACTCCCTTGGCAATGCTGCTCCCCTTGCAAGGAGGGGAACTGAACCTACTGGGCTTGGTGTTTGTGGGCTCAGCGAGCTCCTCTGGACAACAGTAGGACAGGGGTTAGTATGGGAGAGGTCCACTGTGGGTCTGTTTGGTGATCCCATCTTAAACCTGTGGTGGAGGGTATCCCTTGGGAGAGATCTTGCCCCTCTACCCTGTGGGATCAGAAAATCTTCTTCAAATGCAGGTGAATCCCGTTGCTGGACCTGAGGATGATCTGTGGTATCATTATGGGAAGCTTGGATGGGTCTGGGTACAGCTCGAAGCGCTGCAGGGTCAAGGCCAGGGCCACCTTCATCTCATTCATGGCAAACTGCTGCCCGATGCAGTTCCTGTGGGGAGGGGGACAGTGCTCTGAGTGCTGCCTTCGTCCCCAGCCACCCCGAGGTGGACTCACCCCATGTGAGAGCTGGGGCACCTCCAGCTGCTGCGAGGATGACACCACAGCTTATCTAGTAAGCCCCTGATGCACCCAGCTCTGTGGTGAGGTACTGCTATTTATTTTATTATTAAACATTGAAGAAACATAGGGGATTGAGAGAACAGGGGCTTACTTCACTAGGAAGTGCAGCCAGGACCCAGCTAAAAGCCGAAACACCTCCAAAAGGTTATATCTGCTCTGTGAGGTGATTCTCTTGCAAGCTACTGAGACCTCAGTATCCTATATCTATCTATTGATGCAGTATGGGACCCATGAAGACTTGGCCCCCTTGGCTTTGAGGCTCTCTGGGACTCACCCCTAAACAAGGGACCGGTGTTCCCAATGCGGGCAAGAGAAAATGTAAACATCTCCACAAAGCCACAAGAAAAAATGTGTGAAATCCTACAGTGACCACAGTGCTGATGGAGCATGGAAATCCTATTACAGGAGATGCTGTAATAGGAGATCCTGTTAGGGAAAGCCCATTTGAGTTGGCCAAGTCAGCTTGGCTTGTGGAGACTGAGGAAGGATTACCCTTAGGAGCTCGCATCTGAGCTAGGTCTCACATGCAAGGCAGCCTGATAGGAAGGAGAGGGATGAAGGGTCTCCCACCTGGATCCAGCAGAGAAAGGCAGGAAAGCATGGGAGTGCCTCTGTGCTGAGTTCTCTGGAGAAAACCTCAGGGGATTATAAACCTGTGGGAGCAACAAAGACCATCTGGTCAGTGTTTGGTGTGATCTGAGCAGCACCAGGTCCTTCCCTGGTCCCCAGGGCTGGATGTGGCCTCTTCCTGGGGGATCTGCAGATGACAGTCATCTCTCTTCAAAGCCACTGAGTGGATCTTCCCCTTGGAGATACCCAGGTCACCCACTACAATGCCCAAGATGCCTGCAGGTGTTTTCTCATCCATGGCATCAAGGATCAAGCCAGGATCCCTCCATTCCAGAGATGTCTGATCCTTGCTCTCCAGACAGCCACTGGAGAGAGGCAGCTATGCAGCCTTCTTCAAACTTTCCAGTTATTTCTTGAAGCCTCTAAAATATCATCTTCAAATCACACACTCTCTTGTGGGGCTTGGGACTTCTCACACCATTCTAAGTGTGTTCAGGGCGGCTGAAAGCAGTCAGAGCATCTCTGTGTCACCGTGCACAAAGAGAGGCTATTGAACACCCTTTCCCAGCCCTCTGTCATGTTCAAAGCCTTTGGGGTGTTTGGTAACTCGATTGAACTTTGTATTTAGATGTGGACTGTTGGAATGACAAGGGAAAAAAAAAACAAACAACACCGCAGGCAGGCACAGGCTGCCTTCTTCAAGGGGAATGGGTATCTGGGCTCAGAGACCATCCTCCCTTTCTTGTTATCAAGTGAAATACCTCAGGGTCCTCCCACACTTCCCGGTTCCTGTGAATAGCAAATATGCTGAGTGCAACATGGCAGCCTGTAAAAGAAAAGTGAGAAAAAGCTCATGACAGCTCAGAGTGAAAGTGCAGGACAGGTGTTTTTGGGATGCTCTCCCTCCCTGGGCTCTGCAGGGGCTGTTGCAGGAGATCTGGCAGGGATCTCCTGAAAACCTCACACGTCAACAACAAAGACCTCAGAGCTGAGTCCCTTTTTGTCTATCAGTGTATCACTTTCACTTGGGCAGGAACAACACTCCACAAGTCTCCTCTGAGCTCTGGAGCATGTCCTTGGACTATGTCTGGCCACCCTTTCCAGGCTCACTGTGGCAGCAAGCTGTGGTAGCTCCATACAGCTACAGGAGAGAGAAGGGAGTCTGGAAGACCCTCCAGCCCCTCCACACAGAGTGAGGAAGGCCAGCTTGTCACAGACAGCAGCATGAAGGATGGACAAACTCAACAGACCTGCTGGCAAGCTGCGTCCATCAGGAAATGTCACGGGTTTGGAGAGCTCTCGGGACACACCAGCAACTGGTGGGAACAGGCGTAAGCTCTCCTTGATGCACATCGTGGTGTAAGTCATCTTCCCAAGATCCTCCCTGAAAGCAAACTTGCTGAGGATGCACTCAACCCCTTTGTCTATGTCATTGACAAAGGTGTTACTGGTCTGTCCCAGTACAGACCCCCAAGGGAAACCACTTGTCACTGATCTGGACAATTGGCCACTACCCACTGGATGCCACCTTCCAAACAATTCCTCAACCACTCAACAGTCCACCCATCAAATCCTTCTCTCTCCAATTTAGGGAGAAGGATGTTGGGAGAAACTATGTCAAAGGCCTTTAAGGGTAAATTGAAAGAGTTCAAGATAAAGGAGTAAGAAGTCCTAGCTCACCACTCAATGGTGTCTCGGTCTCCCAGGATGCCCTGGATCTCCTCCCTGCAGCGCTGCTGGTGCCCAGGGTGCAGTGACATGCAATAGAAGAGCCAGGAGAGCCCACTGGCCACGGTATCATGACCCTCAAACATGAAGGTGTCCACCTCAGCACGCAGGTCCTCATCAGACAGTCCAACTCCATTCTCATCCTAAGAAAGAGGAGAGCATGTCATTCCTAAGCACACAGGTCTTTTATTTTTACACCCAAAGGACTTGTATGATTTGGTGTCTCTTGTGCTTCCCTTCTTGTGCTGATGCACCCTCGGTGCCACACGGTTCTGCTCTTTGGCATTTGGTACTGTCATCTCAAACATTTACCTTGCTACAAAGAAGAATGTCCAGAAAATCCAGGTGCTTCTTCTTCTGGATCTTTTCAAGCTCCTTCTCACTGGAGAGCAACATCTTTCTTTCTTTTATTACCTGATCTGCACAGAGGAGAGGTCAGTTCTGTGCATCCTGTCCCTCCAGAGTACCCTCATGTACCTGACTGCTCAGTCATCAGCTTGGACTCTGTTTGAGGTGTAACCCCATGCAGTAGCCCCACCCTGAGCCACTCCAGGGGCAAGTGGCAGAGGTTCAGCTGGGAGACAGGACTGGGGAGAAAAGGGCAGGAATACCTGTGTGGGTATGGGCCAGCTTGCAGGCATCCTGAAACGCGTGGCCGCTGGGAGTGAAGTTGTAGAAGACATCCTTGACGGAAAAATTCCGGATCCTATTGCTCAGGAGGTAGCTCAGGTCAAAAACAGCTCTAATATAATAGTGGGAGTTGCTGTAAGGAGAACGAGGTCAAAGCTGGTGTTAGCAAAATGAGTGGTGAAACAGGAGCACTTGCTTTCCCAGGGTTTGGGAACTCAGGCACTGACCTCACAGTCTGACAGTTGGAATTAAAACTGAAGGCACATTTCATGATGCTGTCTAGTGTCATCAAGCTGACATCCTGAAAGAGCTCCACTGACCCCCTCTCTGTGATCCTCTTGTCCCATTTATCCTAGAGGAAGAGCCAGGGTGAGGAGAGACAGACCACCTTCTGTGGTCAGGTCATATTTTCCTGTCCTTCTAACCAGATCCACACTGCTAATTGCTTTCTTTTCTGGAAGAAGGGCCCCTAGCTCATGATATATTCTGTGAACCTAATCTAACTCTCTGTACATTTTTTTCCCAGATATGAAAGGATACCATGAGGGTATGAAAGGATATTCTTGCAGTGGTTGATTTTTTTGGCAAACAGAGAGAAAGAATAAGTGGAATGTCCAAAGGAAGGTGAGGAGACCAATTTTAGATCTTCAAAACTACTCCAAAAATTCAGTGAAAGTAGAAACTCTCTAAGTGCCGTCTCTTTCTCTTACTCATTTTTCATTTTCACTGTTTCACAGCTGAAAGGTAAAAGTAGCAGGAGTAGAGATCCTCACCAGCATCACTTTGACTGAGTCTGACATCAAGGTCACGTAAGATTTCAGCACATCGTAGTGAAAGGCTGGGGTGAGCATCTTCCTGTGCTGGAACCATTTGCTTCCTTCCAACACCAGCAGCCCCTTCCCTGAAGCACAAAGAGCAAAGGCACAATCAGTTCCTGCAGGCTCTGATCACAGCTCTGACAGCCTTACTACTGCTTTTGGCTTACCAATCCAGGGAACTAGGAGTTTGTAGACTGCACTAGCCTTGGGATCTGTAAAAGGGAACAAATATCAGAAATGTATGAATAACTGATGAATTCAACACAACAAAAGAGAAAATTGCCATTTGCCAATGCCTTCTTGCCATTGCCATGACAACTCACACTTTTTACTGGGTTTACTGGGAAGAACAAATATTGTGGTGGTAGAAGCCATAGAAGACAGTAAGACAGATGACCCTCAAACTGGGAACTGACAGGAAACTGGAAGGAACAGACATCTGGTCTCTGTTTTGCAATGGGATACATACACACTGCTCCATGAAACCTGGGGCAGCCTGGGAGTTTGTGAAGAGAAGCAAAAGCAGAATTGCAATAGCTGTGAAGGAAGCTGGCAGAGGGAATAACTCCAGGCAAGTTTCCCAATATTTTCTTGGTAGGAAATGTCAAAGACTTCTCAAAACTGGAGACAGAGACTCACCTGCTCGGCCCAGTATGATTTTGGCATATTCAGGATGGTGAATCATTAGAGTTGGCAGGACTGGTCCAAGCCATCTGGGAAAGGCATAGGGATATTCTTCTCCCCATGATACTACTTGGTGTAAAAAATTTTCAGATTTTAACTGCAATGAGAGTTAATCAGGGATTAATAAAGGCAGAAAAAGAGGGGCATGCCAGGGAGAGCAGAAATTCTTTATTGGGAAATGAAGGAAGAGTGGGTGGACTTGTCACACAGGGGCTTTTATGCTGCAGGCGGAGGAGAGGATGAGCATTGCAAAGGAACTGTGTACAAGAGGCAAAGCTGCCTGAGCCACTAAATCCCTGCAGCACAAGACAGCACCATGGAGAGTCCCGTGCTGGGCTGGTGGCAGCTGAGACACCTTTGGATGGAGCAGCTCCGTGCTACATTTGGGAGCTACAGCTGGCATGGGCAATGCCAGGAGGTCTGGTGGACAGGCAAGGAGGACCAAGGCTGCCAACTCCTGCTCCCCCATTTCAGCAGTGCAAGGTGGGCTTACAGTGTGAAAGCAAAGCATCTGCACTATAGCATGGTGAAAATGGCTGCATTAAAACACCCTGCTTTTGTGGCCATGTCTTCTTCAGCAACTATAGGGTAGAAGGTTTAATGTAGCAAAGAGACATTAATTATGATTAATATCACTCATTATGATTGCTCATATTTAAATAACTTCATGGAAGTCCCATGACTCTTTGTTTAACAACATGATTGAAAAGAGCATGATCCTTTTTTCTGCCTAATGATGCACACCACATATCCAGTACCCTTTTCTCCTGCCCTGCAGAAGCCTTGGCACCCTCTGTGCAGAAAGTCCTCTCCTGTAGGAAGAGACAGGAGCAGGGCACATGCACACCCCATCCAGCCCTTCTCCATCCTGACTGATATCTTGCACAGTTGGGACAAACCACCCCGACTGAGCCCAGCTACTCCTTACCAGGTGATTGTGGCCATAGAGCCAGTGTTTTGGGGGCCCAGGAAATGCCTCCAGAGCTTTGATGAGCTTCTTCCTTTCCCAGTACAACTGGAGCACCTTCAGCAGCACAAAGGTTACACCAAGCAGCGCAGACAGCTGCAGGACGGTGGCAGAAGGTCTGGTTATGCTGTCCAGCAGAGATGCCATGCTGGTCCGGGACACTGCCTTCTCCTGCCTGTTTCTCACCTGCTCCTCGCACGCCTGAGCCAGGTGGGGAGCTCAGAGCAGGTAAAAATCCTCTCTCTCCTCCTCTGCAGGAGCTGAGCCTGGTGAAGTGGAGCTGACAGCACAATTTATAGCTGCTGGAACATCAGGGCAAACATTGCGTCAGCTCAGCCAGCAGCCTGTTCCCCTTTGATCTGCTTTCTGCAGCCTGTCCCTGCAGCCTGGAGAACAATCAGCCTCTGAATATTTCCTGCTTTTGCTGAAGTCCCAGCAGCACTGTCACACCCATCCACAGCCCTCCATGCCCAGGTGGATGAAGCCAGAGGAGGGAGGAGGTGAGATGTGGGCAGGTTGGGGCTCTAGCTGAGCTCCGTGCTGTCCTCAGAGAGTTCAGCTGTAGAAGGTGTACATGTGCACACAGGAAGAGAGAAGCACACAGGCCACCTCTTCTCCATGCATGGAGTCAGCCACCTTCACCTGTGGAAGCAGTGCCCTGGGTGCCTGCATCAGCACCCAGCTCTGCCGGGCTGTAAGCCAGAGAACGGGCATCACTCCAGCAGCACACGAGGGATGTGGCCCTGCTCCCCAAGGACTCCTTCCACAGACAAGCCAGGAGACAAAACTGCTGTCCAGAGGAATTACCATGGTCAGTAGATGAGGCAAGGAGAGGAAAAGCTGCAGAGCAGTGAAGTGAGCTGCAGCAAGGTTGAGGGAACATGATGGGGAGGTGTGATGGCAGGGCCATGTTCCCTCTACACGCCTGGTGAGCCTTCCTTCCTCTGTCCACATGGCATCTCACCTTCTCCAAAAGGGCTCTGCATCTCTGCATTTACCTCTCCATTGCAGTGCTTGGTTGGTTGCAGTGCTTGGCCCTCTTTGCCATCCCTGTGCAGAACCTGGGTTCCCATCCCATAAACCCAGAAACCTGGAATGGCAATGTGGGGTTGGTGGAGAGCTGGAGCTGGAACTCTGACGTGTGGGTGACTTCCATGTAAAAAGCAGGATTCCCAGATGGGCTGAAATAATGTCCCATTTGTGTCTTGGGATATTACAAGGATCAACTGGGTAATCAGCTGTGGAAGCTCATAGTCTGACAGGCTACAACACAGGGGCTGAACTTTGTGAGTGCTTCTTCTCAATGTAACACGTCTCTGAGACAGAGGACTTCTGATGTTTGGGTACTTCCCTTTAGTTTTTAGTCTAAAATATGCCATGACCCACCTTTTCTGCTTGTAGGGTCATTTTGCTGATAAAACCCACTGTTTCTCTGAGGTTCATGGTCATTGCCTTGGAGAACATCCCTGGCATGCACTACACTGAGCAGCGTTACCTTTTCACACACTTGGCTGTCCTCATGTAAATTAGTGTATCTTTTTTTACTGAGCCAGCTGTGTCTGTGTGAAAGTTCAAGGCAGAGTTAAAGGTTGATCTTGAGGAGGCAGAAATCTGTAATCAAGTTAGGCATCTCTTAGGGAAGGCTTTGGGTATAGCCAGAGCACAAGGGACCCAGTTTGACATGACAAACTCTCATGTGAAGACCTGCAGAACATTCATTAATATTATGATGCTGTGTAGTTGGGTCCCTCACAAGATCTGCACAAGGAAAAGAGGGAGGTGTGATGGTTGAGCCTTTGTTCAGTGCCAATGGGGCTGTTTGGGACGTGCTGTGGTACCTACATCATTACCAGACTGACCAATGTGGATTTGGCTGGCACCTTTCAGAAATCCCCTGCAAAATAACACATAAATACCCCCACACCCAGAGGTGGAGGGGCCAAGCCTGTGGATGGAGCTTCTGATGAAACTTTTATAATAACACAGAAATTTTCAGTGCTGACAAAGTCCTTGGAGTGTGAGGTTGACCATGAACAGGGTCAATTTTTACCAAACTGGCTTCCTTATAGTTGTAAATTAACCAGTAGGCTCTGTTGAGTATGGAGATAAGGGATATGGTTTGTCTTGACGTTCATATATGGAGGGAATATTACAGGGGACAAACTGGCTAAACCCACATTTATAGGGATTTGGAGCAAGAATCTGATCTTTGGTGATAGCAAAACTGGGTTTAATCCAGCCTCCAGCCTCTGCACTCTATATTTCACTGATGGAGGGGAGAGAAAAACCTTTCTCATGTATTTCAGAGGTTTCACAGCAAGAGAAACCATGAACACTCACAGCCTGGGGAAGAAAACTCAGGGGGTTTTGCTGGGGAAGAAATGATGAAAGTTCAAAAGGCAAAGTGAAGTTGCTGCAGAGCTGCAAGTGAAGAAAAGTGAAATGGGGCATTATTGGTTTGATCATTGTAAGGGCCTGGGACAAGGCCAGAACCATCTGTTAGCAGAGAATCTACAGCCCTGGTGATGGAGGACTCCAGAAGAAGATCTCAGCATGAAAAAGCAGGTAAAAGGATTTTCTGATAGCAACAGTGGTTTGGAGAGGCTGGCAGGGCTTAGCTTGACCTTCTGAACATTTGAGACTGGTGAAACTGCAGCTGGGTGTTAAAGGACACTTGGAAAGTCATTAAACATTTGCAGAGAGCCTCTGGAAGATTATCTTAGTGCTGTGGATGTCCACGTGATGGCAGAGGTGTCACAATGGTTCAGGCCATCAACATGAAACAGCCCACTTACACTGGAGAATTTCCATCCCACACCACAGCCACGGACACAGCAGGCTGTGGAATTTGCTTTCTGGGTCTTGGGGATTTCTCCACTCCCTTTAGACACCTATGCAGAAGAAGGAGAGGATCTTCCTCAGTGATTTAACTCACATGGTCAGAATTCATTGCAGAAACAGTGGTTTACTGAGCAGGTGAAATTTAGGTGGCAAATGGGTGCTTTGCCCCAGAGGCTGACCTTGCAGCAGCTGCTTTCCCTGGTTGTGCCTGTGTTTATTCAGATAGGAAGAAGAGTCCAGGCCCATCTGTCCCTGTGTGTTCCTGCAGCACATAGTGATGACAGATGAAATGTAGCAGTAATGCCAAAAAAAATAATAACATTTCAAGCTTCCAAACACATGATAGATGAGAAAATCATGGCAAGAGCCCAGCAAGTGTTGCAGAGTAATGCAAGCTGCCTGGATCCCATCTGACCACACATGTCTCGAGATGAATGTATATCTGGAAGCATTTAATACAGCTGTCTGACAAATATGTAGCAATACTTATTTAATTTACTGCTGCTTCCCCTATAAAATCCCAGCAGAGTTTTGATGGAAATTGCTGGTGCCATCTGACAGTAAATTTGCCTGGAGAGCGGCGTGGGTCCTGTGCAGGGACTGCATTCCTGGTGCTTCAAGCCAGCTGCCCTCCCTGCTGGTCCTGCCACTTCCAACATGCCTGGCAGCATCCAAAAAAGTGCCACCAAGGAACTGAGATAGACAGACACTTTCCCGTGACCAGGATGTGGCTGCACAGCGCCGGTGACAGACTGTGGGGAGAGGAATAACTGCACGAGTAGGTGGCATCTTTGCCCTGCTGCTGTAGAAAAACCAAACCACAATGAGAAAAACCCGAGATGTTTTTAACTGAAACCAAGACTGACCCTTCTTGCACAGCCACCACCAGGAGCTCTTGTTACAATAGTTATCTGAAGGTCTGAATCACGCAGTCCAAGGTCAGCCCACCATCTTTGCAATTACCCTTTTCTGCAAAAAGTGGTGAAGGATGAAAGAAGGAGGTAAGCTCTCTGCAGCTGGACCTTGACTGCCTTTATAGCAATAAATCCCATGCAACCAGGTGGTTTTATTATTACCATATCTCTAATACCTGCTAGGGGAAAGGTAGATTTGGGGAATTGCTGTCAGGAATTAGGGTCTAGAAAGATCTGGCTTGCTCTGGCACTGGGGCACAGTAGCTCCAGAAGCCCTGTTGCAGCCTCAGCCCTGCTCTCCTGTTCAGAAGCAGGGCAGCCATGGAAGATCTGTGATGCAGGACATGAGAAGATGCAGGATGTGGGATGATGCAGGATATGAGATATGAGATGCAAGATGTGGGATGATGCAGGATGCAGGATATGGGATGTGGGATGCAGGATGTGGGATGCAGGCTGGCTGGCCTGGCATGGAGAGCTGGCCTGGCATGTGCTGGCCCCTGTGGCTCAGGGAAATTGTGAGCAGGGCTGCCATGTGTGGTGTTATTTAACAGAGTGTCTCCAGTTCCTGGCCTCAGGGGGTGACAGAACCATCACGGGAGAGATTTGTGAGCAGATTTTATGCTGGGTTTAGGTGGCTGCAGGGGAAACCAGGCTCTGCTCCCTTCTTGTGTGAAGAAGCCACAAGAACAACTCCAAGAGGATGGTGAGAATGCTGCAGGGCATCTTCCCTTTTCCTCTTCAGATATGAAGAGGCAGCTTTTTGGTGAATTCTAAAAGTCACGAGGGACACAATGACTGAACAGGATGAAGACAGAAGCAGTCAGGCTTTTCCATCCCAGTGCCAGGAACATCCATGTGTTGGATGGTTCAGCTGGGACAGCTGCAATGCAGCTTTTCCTGTATCCCCAATTCAACCCACTCACAAAAAACAAACCAAACTTGCCCCAGCCTTCTACCACATCCATTACCTCCTCTGGCTTCTGGAGTATTCAGTAAAACCAGTCACCAACTTTTAAAACCTCTGCAGATTCTCCAAATAACCTATGCCAGGGCTTTAGAAATCTTAGGGAGTGCTCGATGTTGTGCAATCTGTGTCTACTCAAATGCAATGTAGCAGCTGCCATTTATCTACATGAGGTATGTCAAGTTCCCCTGGTGTGATCCCCTTTAACCTACTCTCTTTCAGTGGGTACACCATGATTTCAGCCTTTGCTCTTGCTCATTAGATGCTCGTGCTTTAATCTTTCACATTGGAATGCCAAGATTCATCCACTCCTCTTTAGATGGTATTTTTTTCAAATCTTGTCTTTGTAAGAAAATTGCATCCAATACAGAGATGTATGCAATTTATTTCTGGTAACTTCAGTTATTTTGATTAAAATTTTTCTCATTTTGCACTTTAGAGTATGTAAGCTCGGAGTAGATGCTGTTGCTTTTATACTTAAATCTCCAAACAGAGTTGAAGGACACTCTCATTTCATCTGCTGAAAGAGACACAAGTGAAAAATTTTTGAGAAATATTTGTGCTTATGCATCCAAGCATGATGTTTGCTGTGATTGCAAGAGCAGGATATTATTGATTCATATTACCTTTTCTATCTCTCCATGTACAGAACATCCACTGGAGAAATTGCTGCCTGTCAGTAATTTTTTCTCTTGGTTTTGTGCCATGCCTGTGCCTGCTCTTGTGCTTATAGACTCGCCTTCCATTCACAGCAGCAGTTTTTCAATTTATCATAATAATTTTGTATCCTGACATGGCCCTCCAAAGAGCTTGTGGTGTCTCATAGTTTCATAACTTTTGACATTTTGATAAGCATACTCTGTCTCTCTCTATTGCATCATTCTGATTTCAGCTCAAGAGCTGCACCTCGTGTCTGAAGAGGGGACAGGCAGCTGGAGCAAGTGGATTTTCTCCTGGACTGTCCCAGCACAACCCTGCAAACCAGACCCTGCAGGTGAAGGCTGTATGAAGTCACCTCTGCCCAACTTGCACAGCAGCCTCCTCCCAGCTTTTGGGATTTCACAGTTTGATGTGTGATATTCCATCCCAGCAATGATTCCTGCAGAGGCAGAGGACAGCTCACTAGTGTCCTCCAGTGTAACAATTCTCATAATTTTATCAGCTTAAGAAAATAAAATAATACTTAAAAAAAAAAAAGAGGGACAGCCTGCCCTGACACACTTTCTAACTATGAGAACTTTGATTGATGATTGATTACTGGACCCCTATTAAAGAGTTGCCCATGGAAGGAGATGCTGTGTTGGCTGGAGACCCACAGGCAGTTTCCTGGCCTGTCCAGGGAGGTCTCTTGCTGCTCATGGGCTTCCTCTCCACATCTTCCATTTCTAAAGGAGTTTTACACTGTGTTTGTGATGAAGCAGGCAAGCACCAGCAATACAAACAACACAGCTGCTGTTGCAGGAAAAATTTGTTTATTAAGACAAAAATTACAGAATATTTTGCAGTTTGGGCACGATTTCAGAGCCCAAATTACAATCAGTGCTTTCAACAAATTATAGGCCCACTGAGTGTAAGAAGTGAGACAGAGGTCTGCCCCAGGCTGTCCCACTGCAGGAGAGCAGGGCTGACCTCTAGGCACTGAGGAAGGTGCTGATGACAGAGCAGGGCTGGAAATGGTCACAGATTCGGCCAGGGCACGAGTGTGAAGGCAGGATTTGGTAAGAAGGAGGCTGGTGGGGCCTGCAGTTGTTCCCAGAGCAGGCCAGGCCCGCCCTTATGGCAGTGCAAGGGGACAGAGAGCGTGGCCGTGCCTGGCTGCTCTCAGATCAGTGCCCTGGAGCAGAAGGGTCTGTGCAGTGGCATCCCAGCCTCCTGGGCCTCGCCTGAAAAGGGCTTTCAGCCGGTGGACGAAGCACAGAAATCAGGAATCCTCATCCCCAAATCCTGCCCTGCACCTCTACCCCAGAGAAACACCGTCCGTCATCTGCCTGGTCCCTCCCTCTGGTGAAGGCAGGATGTTTTCCAGCATCAGCGGATTTTCTTTAAATACAGGTGAATCCCGTTCTTGGAGCGAAGGATTATCCGAGTTATTTTGAGGGGAGGCGTGGCAGGGTCGGGCAAGAGCTCAAAGCGCAGCAGGGTCAGAGCCAGCGCCACCTTCATCTCGTTCATGGCAAACTGCTGCCCGATGCAATTCCTGCGGGGAAACAGAGCGGCTCAGCCAGCTCCACCCCTGTGCTGGGCACAGCAAACCCCACAGCCCATCCCACAGCAAACCCCACAGCACATCCCACACAGCTCATCCCACACAGCTCTATCCCACAGCAAACCCCACAGCCCATCCCACACAGCTCCATCCCTGTGCTGGGCACAGCAAACCCCACAGCCCATCCCCCACAGCTCCAGCCCACACAGCCCATCCCACACAGCTCCATCCCCATGCTGGGCACAGCAAACCCCACAGCCCATCCCACACAGTTCCATCCCACACAGCTTCATCCCTGTGCTGAGAGCAGCAAACCCCACAGACCATCCCACACAGCTCTATCCCACAGCAAACCCCACAGCCCATCCCAGCCCTCCCACACCAGCACACATCCTCCCCCTCTGCAGCTCAGGGGGCCCCAGGGGCATGGGCTGAGCAGGAGGAATTGAGAGGAACATCAGGAGCTCACTGTGTGGTCAATGAGCAGGGAGAAGGAGGGAGATGGGGAAGCCAAAGGACAGGCCAGCAGGGATGAGGTGGTGGGTCTCCAAGCAGGGAAGGTCTGCAAGGTTCTGGCCTTGAAGGAGTCAGCACAGGGCAAAGGGAAGGATTGGGAGGAGGGTGAAAGCAGAGAATCAAAGGGCAGGAGGGTGGGGTGGGGTCTCTGCATCAAGGAGGGGAGAGCAGGTGAGCTCAGAATGCTGCAGGCTCCCTGCAGGATGCCAGCAGGATGTTCCACAGCTTTTGGACCCAGTTCCCTGTCCCCAGAAGGGGCTTGGCAATGCTGCCTTCCCATTTTGCCTGCTGGTATCAGAACTCCTCTGTTGCACAAACACTTACATCCCCATTTAACTATTTAACTATGTAATTCTGCAGGACCAGGACTGCAGGGCACACCCTGGGCAGTCTCTGCCCACTACTCCTTCAGTGTTAATTCCCTTTACCTCATTCCAGCAGAAAAAGGCAGAAAGGCATGAGAGTGCCTGCCAGAGACATTCTCTGGGGAAAAACGCAAAGGGTCAAACACCTGGAAATGAAGAACATGCAGCAAGAAAAAGTGACTATTTAAATAACACAGTACTAACTGGTTTCTTGAGAAATGTGACCCCCCTCATTTATGAAGAACCCCATAGTAGAGAGACAATTATGCTGTGCTGCTAACAGGTGAAGGGTACATGGGAAGAGGCACATCCCAAAGGGAAAGAATTATTAGCAGATCAAAAGAAAACTCACCAAAGGATCTTTCCACACTTCAGGGTTTCTGTGAATGAGGTAAATGCTTATTGCAGTGATGCTGCCTGGAAAACAATTGAGGAGGAGAAAAGGGCTCACTGACAAAGAAACAAGCCAACATCTGCACAGCCCTGCCTGAGCATCTGTGCCAGCGAGGATGCAGCTGGTGCCTGAGAGCAGAGCTGTGTGCAGCAGGAAAGGGATTTGCAGGAATGGGATCTACAGACCTTCGGGCAGAGTGCGTCCGTCGGGGAAGGTGACGGGTTTGCTGAGCTGCCGGGACACGCCCGGCACGGGGGGGTAAAGGCGCAGGCTCTCCTTGATGCACATGGTGCTGTAAGTCATCTTGCCCAGGTCCTCCCTGTTGGGACAGGCAGGCTGAGCCCCACAGTCCCCCCACTGCCTGTGCTGGGAGGCCCCTTCACCCACAGCCTTGCAGCCCCTGAGCAGACTGCGAGAGAACAGAGGGACCCACAATGCCCAGCCAATGCCCAGGGTATTTCCAAATGCTGCCATCAGCCCCAGGCTGAACAACCCGAACAACCACTGAACAAGCTCAAGTGCAAAGTGACAGGGAAAAGTGAAAAGCACATCTCTGATGTCCTGTGGTGAGAAAATAGGAGAGAGCAAAGAGCAGTGCTGTTGGCCCAGGACTTGGGATGGCATCCAGAATGTCCCTTCCAGGGGGGCAGACGTAGCTGAAGGATCTGTGAAGTCCCTGTGCATGCAGCAACCTTTAGCACCCCCAGCTTTTGAGCCTCGAAGGCATCGCTCACTTGGAAACGGCAGCGATAGGAAAAGAGTGACCAGCAGAGGAAATGGTGCACCCTTACCACTGGATTGTCTCCCGGTCCCCCAGGATGCCCTGGATCTCCTCCCTGCAGAGCTGCTGGTGCTCAGGGTGGATTGCCAGGCAGTAGAGGAGCCAGGAGATGCCACTGGCTGTGGTGTCGTGGCCCTCAAACATGAATGTGTCCACCTCAGCACGCAGGTCCTCATCGGACAGTGCAGCTCCATTCTCATCCTAACAGTCCAGAGACACTCTCAGTGGCCCATACATATAAAATATATATTACAGTAACACACACACACATATATATAAATATGTAAATATCCCAGTAGGGGCTATTATATTCTTTCAGCTATTGCAAAAGGGGTGTGATAATGCCTGTGGGATACATGTAAACAAAATGAATGTCTGTTTACACTGAATTCAGAGCTCCTTTCTCTTCACTTTTAAATCTCTTTACGCCCCCATATTAAACCACCAGGACTACAGAATTCCTCTGCATTCTGTATATCCAAAAATACATTGTCAACACTTCAACAATGGAAAACTGGATCACCTTGCCCTCTCTTCAACCGTGGGACAGGGCTAATTTTTTTAAATGGCTAGTGCAGTCCTGAGGGTCTATGGTGGCTTGTGGCACTCCTGCAAAGACTGACTTGCTTTTGCACTCTGTGACCTGCCACACAAACACTCCTTGCCACTCACTTTGGCACACAGCAGAATGTCCAAGAAATCCAAATGTCTCTTCTTCTGGATCTTTTCAAATTCCCGTTCATCTTTAAGGGATTCCTTTCGCTCATGGATCACCTTGTCTGGGGGAGAAAGGGTTAAAGGCTCAGCAGGGCCAGGAGATGTCAAGCTGCAAAACTTTGAATGCAAAACTCAAAGTTTTGCATCTCAAAAACTCATCTCAAACTTTGTGGTTTGAATGCAAACCTCACCCAAGGAGTGAGCACTGCTCAGTCCACGATGCATTTGACCCGTGCTTGCGCATCCCAGGCACTTTGGCTTTTTCAGCAGCATGGCAACAAACGCCATAGATATTGGCATCCTTTTCTTTGGTCACCATGGACTTCTCAGCCTACTTTACACACCCCTCATGCATTTAAATCACACCTGGCTTGAAATGGAAAATCATTCCTTGCACTGGTGTTGCCTGCAATGCCCATTCCTTGTCTCACCATTGGCCATTTTACAGGAGCATTTCCAGAGGGCAATTCCTCCATTAGTCCAGTTTAATGACCCAGGAGCTGAGAGACCCCTTTGCTTCTTTTCTAGATCAGATCACTGCTGCAAGCTGATGCCCTGCTTGGATCTCAGCTCTGAGCTCTGGGCAGGGTTCACTGCACAGGCAAGGAGAAAACCTGACTGCCTCTGTCCACAGTTTTGGCAGAGAATGCCAGTAGGGAATACCTGTGTGGTCATGAGCGATCCTGCAGGCCTTCCTGAACTGAAACCCATGGGGGCTGAGCCAGTAAATGATGTCATTGTGGTAGGGGAAGATGCGGAGGCGCTGGTGCACCATGTGGCAGAGGTCGTAGACAGCCTGGATGTAGGCGTTTTTCCTGGAGAGAGGGGAATAGGAAGCTTGTAAATTTGGGAGCACAGTGACATGTAATTTGCCCATTTCCCTTCTGAGCTGCAAACTTCCTGCCAGGGTTTGGGGCAGCCAGCACTGACCTGCTGGTCTGGCAGTTGCTGTGACAACTGAAGGCACATTTCATGATGCTATCGAGAGTCATCAAGCTGACGTGCTCAAAGAGCTCCACTGGCTTCCCATCTGCTATTAGCTTTTCCCACTTATCCTAGGGCACAAAGGAGACAGAAATGAGAAGACAAGGGGCAGCTCTGCATGGTCTGCAGTCACCCCCTAGTTAAATGAGTGCTCAGATAGAGATCCATCCCACAGAAATTTTTGCTAGTTGCCAGCAAAATCCCAGAGAAGAGAAGCCAAAAGTGGGATGGTTAATATGAGATTTGCCTCAGGCAGCTGCTGTTCTTGGATCCTGGTGGTGGTAAGCCTGGCTACAGCCCATTCTGAGGCAAGAGTACCCTGAAGAAGCCCAGGACAGGTGCATTTCTGGGTGATGGCGAGTTACCCAAATCTTTCTTAGAACAGAGTGTGTTTTTCTGTACAGGAGCAGCAAATGCTGGCATTGGGCTTCACTGGGTGCCTTCTTGAGCACATTTGAGCTTTATGCCCAAGACACAAACTTTGGAGCAAGGTTTTTTTCTGTCACATCTCTGTGCCAGCGTGTTTTGCCAGCAAGTAATACAGGAGCTCTTGCTCAACCCTTCGCACAGGGCACCCCTAGAGAAACGATAAATCCTGCCTCTCTTCCCCAGAAGACACGAAGTGATGATGAATCCTCTGTCCCCTCGAGGCTGTAAGGAACGAGTGGACTTCCAAGCTGAGAAAGGGAGGGGAGGGAGGAGCACGGTGACATCAGAGCTCCACAGCACCAAACCAGGCTTATGGGGACAGATGTGCGTCCGTCGCACATGCAACGATTGCCACCTGGTGGCACGGGCTCACACAATTGGCGCTGTGCACAAGGAATTTCAAACTCCCAGGCAGTCCTGAGCCTTGCAAAAGCTCTCCTGGCTCTCCAGCCCCCGGCTCCTGGCTGCTCCCTGGGCCAGCAGGAGGAATCCAGCCAGGATCTATGTGAAGCTGCCAGGGAGGTTGGAGTGAGGGAGGTGAAGGAGAAGGAATAGATCCAGCATCCAGACTCCTCCAGTTCACATGCACAAAGCCTGGTGCCCTTCTCCTGTAATTCCTACTGGTTTCCATCCTGCCCAGCAGCAGTGGAGTGAAGAACAGTGCATTTTTACTGTTTATGAGCCATGGCAGGGATTGCAGTCCAGTCATGGGTATGTTGACAGCTAATAATACCCTTTAACCTTAGGTAACACTACAGCTCTGCTCCAGCCTTTATTTTTGGCAGATTTATTATGAACATTAATTTACCTCAATTCTTTATTTAGACAAACACCCTATAAGAAGTTGCTGTTGGAACTGAGATCATGCACGGGATGTCAATAACATCAGTCCTGGAATCTCAGCCACAGATCCCAAGGCAGTACCAGGGACAGTGTCATTGCAGGGAGGCTCAACCTGCCCACCCCTTCCAAGGGATACTCATCCCTCCCAGCTCAAGGGCAGGGATTTGGGGTGACTCAGAAAGAATGACCACCAGGACACAGCATGTCCTTACAATTACCAGATAAAGAAAACGCTGCTCCAGCATTTACCTCCTAACCAGACAGGATGGGGAAAAGCAAACAGGGCAGAGAGAGGAGCATCATGAGTCCTACCAGCATCACGTTTGTAGATTCTGCCATCAGGGCCACGTATGGCTTCAAGACGTCATAATGGAACCCTGGGGTCAGGAGTTTTCTGTGTTGGTGCCACTTGGGCCCATGTAAGATCAGCAACCCATTCCCTGGGGAAAGACAGGCAAGGCATGTTTTGCTGGGCACAGGCTGCTCTCAGCCTGCACAGAAAGTGATTAAATCTGTTATCTGAGCTGCTGTGAGAGGGTATTTCCAAATGCTGCCATCAGCCCCGGGGTTGCCAGAGCTGAGCAAAGCCCTGCTCACCAAAATAGCACAGTGGTGTCTTTGAGAGGAAGCACCAACACTACTGGAAAAGAGAAATTCAGAACAGCAGATGTATTTTTCACCAGTTCTTCAATGAATTTAAACTTCCCCATCACCAGTCTTTGCTACCTATGGACATGTAAGTATTTGTACTTACATATGTTACATATGTTACATATGTTACATGTTACACATATATAAAAAACATGTGTATATATGTTATGTCTCAACTTTCCATCCTTGAAAATAAATAGAACTACTTAGTACCTTTTTCAGTCTACTTAGTACCTTTTTCAGTAAATGCAATAATTTTAAGAAGCTTTTAGCTATAACTCCATCAAGGAATAGGCACAATGCTGTTTATTCATAGCATGCTTTTGACTAACTTCAGAATCATTCCTTGCAGGCAAAGCCCTGGGAATACATACCAATCCATGGGACAAGGTGTTTATAGCTGATATTATCTTTGGGATCTGTAAAAAAAAATAAAGAAAGAGAAAATAAAATGGTAAATGTTTCAATAGCATGAATTCAGGTTTGCAGCTGAAAGCTCCCTCTGGGCTCTCACTTTTGGTTGGGTATGAAGCAAAATCAGTGGCATCCCTGCAGAACTCCCAGTATTTAAACACAAAACAACTTTGTCTTTGCCAGCAGCAATAAATACATATAAAAGCAGATGCTCACACTGGAAAAAAACAACAATATTGGCAGTCCAAAGTCTGTGCAGTGTGATAAATGATTAACCCTCTCAGACATTACTGTTCAGCACCTTGTCTACTCAATCCACTAAAGATACTTCTCTACAGCAGGAGCCAAAACTCTGAACCTAGAAAAAACTCCCAAGTGTCTTCTCCTTGCTGGGATCAGGCACTGAGTAGTTAAATTTCAAGGAGCACTTGAGGAAGTCTGATTTTCCAGCAATGGATTTGGAGTCAGGTCAGCCCTGCAGCCCTGTGCCTGAAGCACCCAGGGCACAGCATGAAGGAGTGGTATCTCTCCACACCTTTAGATGATTTCTGCAATAAAACCTCTCTGTGAAACTGCCTTGCTGTAAATTTTGAGGCTGGCATGGGAAATCTACAGGCTAGGGTTGCTGCTTCCCAGCTGAAGCCATAATCTCTCACCTCCTCTGCCCAACAGAACCTTGGCATAGTCGGGATCAGAGACAACCAGGAATGCTGAGAAACTCCCAAACCACACAGGGTGAGCATGTGAGTACTTCTGTGACCAGAGCTCTGACTTGTCCAGCATCTCTTCCTCCTTGAGAAACTAGTTCAGGAGAAGAAAAAAGACAGAGAATATACAGATTTGGAGGGAAAAAAAATAAATATGTAATTTCCCAATACACTGTCTTAAAAAGCTCAATGTCTTTCTGAGAACAAAACCAGATGAGGATAAACAAGATGTTTTTCCTCCATGTTTTCAAAACATGGGAAGGAGAGATATTTGCTACTTTTAAAGCTCCTATAAAATAATTCTTCCTTATCACTTGACCTTAAGCTAGAGAACATCCTTAGGAACCATGGTGGTGCCTATCAGCTCATATGTGTTATCTGCTCTTTTTCCACGGCCACCCCATAGAAGACAGCATCTGCATTTTGTAGCATGCAAACTACATTCTCACTTGCATATGGCTGAGCAGTTAGCACTCTGCAGCTGGGAGAAAATAGAGCAGCCAACAGCACCACTGCTGGGTCTGCCCCAGTGCAGCTGTGGGGAACAACACCCCACCCCTGCAGACATTTTGGTGGAGAGGGCCAGTGTCCATGAAAAACTGAACAGAATTAGTTCAAAGTCACCAATGGATCACAGAGAGAAGGAAACACTGGTTAATAACATTACATTAAGAATTCATTGATAGCTGGGAATTGAGTTTTACAGGCAAGGAAGAACTGGTGCTCTTAGAAAGACGTATCTCCTGTCCTTGAAAGCTGCAATCTGAGGAGCAGCATGAGCACCAGCTTTCATATCAGCAGCAGTGGCAGGTTCACTCCGAAGTAATCTCTGCTTTATTGCTTTTACAGCTGGTGTTGTTATGTACAGAAAAAAGACAAAGAACGAGTGGAAAGAACCACAATCACAGGCAGAGGAAGAAAACCACAGAGACTAAACCATGTAAGATTATTTTTTCTTAGAAGAGAAACTACTCTGGGCCAATATGCAGGGGAAGGATTTTGGTAACCTAGGTCTGACATAGCTGCTGCTTTGACTTGAAACTTGAAGATTAATTAAATCAGCATACTGGTGCAGAAATCAGCCTCAAAGTCACCCAGTTGGCTGCATCAAGTGATATTTGCTCAGTTGCTTTAGTGCTGAGTTATCTCAGCTCAGCTTTTAGTCTGGCTGGTGTTTCTCAACCCAGGACATTGCTCGTACTCAAATAATCACCCACATCAAATATTCAGCCATGTGTGGCTTGTCTTGGATAGGATATCTGCCAGAGGCATATCCAGGTTCAGCTCCAAGACTGAGCCCCCCCTTCCTCACAAGCTGGGGCATCCCTGCAGCACATCCCATGTGTCTCCCACATTCAGCAGAATTATGAACTGCAACCAGTTATTACAGCTCAACTTCACTTACTCAAGTTCAGGATTTTGAACTTAATAAATAGAACCATCAATTTCTCTGACTTCAGAGATCAAGTTTTGGAGCAAAAGGAGGCAGCTCTCCTCAGCACCCACCTCTTCAGCAAATGTCAGCAGAAGCAGTCTTTGGCACAGTGCCTTTATCTAAGTGACACCTGAACATGTGAAATTCCCTTTGACACAGCTGCCTGTGCTTCTCCTGTTGTGAATCACAATAAACATAATGGAAAGTAACTGGGAGATGCTGAGCAAGTCTTGCTGGCAGAAGTCCTAATCCTAGAAGCCTTGGCATCCACCCTTGTTTTGGAGCAGCACGCTTGGCTTAGCCTATCAAGAACCATCCCTGTGCTGGCAGAGGGTTGAATGGTTTTATTTGAGAGGAGAGGTTACCCTCAAGGTGAGTAACCTGCTGCACCAAGCACTCCTGGAGCAGAGGGTGTAAAGTTCTGTGAGCTGCAGAGGAATAGAAAGCTTTCATGCCTTAATCATGGCTCCAGCTACCCGGCTCTGCACAAAAGACCATTACTGCTACTTCTTCTTCCCCTGAGGGCTTGAAAAGTATAAACCCCACTTGGGCCTAAGAAAGAAAGGTAATTGCCTAATCTCATGCTGAAATGCAAGTTTTGAAATTGATCCAACACTAAAAGCATCCGAGAAGAGGCTTAAGGGCATTTTAATGACTACACACTGATAGCAAATGAAAGAGCAAAGACAGGAGCTGAAATCTGAGCACGAGGGTGTGCTGCCTGCAGCCAGAGGGGGCTCCTCCACACACAGGGCAGAAGTGGACAAAGGGCTGCCGAGGGACTGACACCCTCCCTGGGCCAGCAGGGCAGTGACCCTGCTCTCCTCTGCTTGCCACCAACCCCAGCCATGGGGAGCCACTTTGGTCAGCTCAGGGCTGGCAGTCTGGGTTTAACTAAGTCGTGCTGCTGCAGTGAGACTGAACAGCTCTACACAACATCTTCCTGATATTTTAATGTCATTTCTACTGAGTGATTTGGATAAGCAGAGACTAACACCCAGAGAATGCTTTAAAACAAAGTGACGTATTCCCAGGAGATCCACCCAGAGCATGACAAATACATTTGAGCTTCTAAACTGGCCTGGATCAAAACTGGCAAACAGTTAAATCAGCAGAACTGGAAATGTCAGTGCTCTCCCTGAATACAGCTCACAGGTCCTCCTCGAGGTGTGTGCAAACTTTGTATTCAGCGTGTTGAATTGCCAGAGCATTGCCAGTTTCTTTGCTGGCTCGATGAACTGTTAGGCTTTGGGGAATTCAGCAGCGTTAATCAGCAAATTATTAAATCTTCAAAAAAGGAATTCTCATACAAACATTGTCTGAGGTAAAAATTGAGGCATGAGCAACCTAGGCATGATGACAGCAAGTGATTGGCACAAATGGTTAAATTTCCTTCCAGGACAAATAGCCACAACTAACAAACAGAAGAATTTATTTAATTGCAGTTTTAAAGTCTAACTGGCAGTGTAACAAAGCTTTGAACTGGCCCATCTTCATGCTTACATTGCCAAAATACTGCTTGTCCTGTCCAGCACAGCAAAACTGGCAGTGCCACAGCACAGAGACAAGTCCTGTGAGGTCTCCTCCTGATTTCCCAGACACTTTTCAGGGTGCCAGCTATTTAATGTGGCAGGACATCAGCAGAGCCCAGTAGAGGGCAAGATTATTTTAGGCAGCCTTTAGCACATATGGAAAAACCTTTTACAACAGGCAAGCTCGTGAGGCTGCTGATGAGTTGTGAAAATCCGTTTGCCAAAGGCAGCCGTGGTGATCTGTGTGGGCAAGTGCACACCTCGGGAAATAATAATCCATGACACCAGTGGCCAGAACAAGGCTCGCCTATGCACGTGGGTTTAGTTACTCATGACCTTAAATGCAATTGTAAGAAGATCCACGGCCCTGTGCTGGATGCAAAGCCTGCGATGTGTTTTGTGCCTGAAAAGTGGCTCGGAACGATCAATTGCCAGGTTCACCTAGGCCACGAGGCCGAGGCAAGCTGGCAGGGGAGGGAAAGCGCCTGTGGATATCGGGAGCAGCGAGCATCTGCTCAGCATCTCATGAGCTCAGCGCCGCAGGGAGAGCTGCAGGGCCCTGCCCCGGCTGTCAGGGAGCAGAGGTGACAGCGGAGACAGAGCAGCGCGGCTCTGCTCCCTCCAGCACCGATGCCGGCTCACACCCCGGCACGACCTTGCCCATGCCACACTGTGTTGCCTCCCTCTTGACTGGCGAGCCGGCCACCACCCTTTTCCACCGTGCAGCCTGCAGCAGCCTGCGGAGCTCTGCGTGAGCCATGCGCTCGCTAGGCATCACAGGCAGGGAAAGCACGTTGTTCTGGCTGGGAAAAGGGATGCCCACCCCTCACCCGCCCAGCAATTCTCCCGGACCACGGGGACAAGTTCCAGCAGCAGCACTCCCAGCCCCTCGGGAAAGCTGCTCCCGCACTCCCCGCGCCCCGGCAGCGCAGCCCCGGCTCTCCCGCACCTCGTGGACGTGGCCGAAGAGCCAGTGGGTCGGGTGCCCGGGGAAGTCGGCCAGCGCCCGGAGCAGCTCCCGCCGCCGGTGGAACAGCTGGATGGCTTTCAGCAGCACGCAGGTCAGGCAGAACACGGCGGCCAGGTGCAGAACCCTGGAGACATCCACGCCCAGCCACAGGAGCTTCATGGTCCCGGCGAGAGCCGCCAGCCGCCGCCTGCGGTGTCCCCAGCGCCCCGGCGGCACCGGCCGCGGCAGCCAATGCGGGGCGGAGAGGCAGGTCCAGAGTCCGAGCGGCTGCCAAATCACGGCAGCGCTTGTTGGGAGGGAAGGGAAGGGCAAGGGAGGGAAGGGAGCATCCCGCGGGAACGCTGCGCTCGCCGCCGCACCGGCTGGGAGCTGCTGCCCGCCCCGAGTCCCTCCTGCCGGCACGGGCTGGCTCCGCGCCGCGACCTCAGGCTGAAGAGACAGGGAAGGAGCGTACCCTGGGATTCCTCCTCCCCAGGTCTTCATCGCCTATTCCTGCCTCACGAGCTTTCACCCTCATCTCCACCCATTCCCATCCGCATCCCGGCTGACACCTCCCGCTCTCCTTTCCTGTCTCCCTCCCCGCTGCCGGCGCTGTGAGCCGCATCCAGCGCCGGCGGGGACAGCATCTCTGGGCAGCGAGCGTGGGGAATGCCGCACCGGGGGCCGGGTACAGAGGAATGCCGCACCGTGGCAGCTTTGGCACGGCTTGGTGGCACGGCCGGGCAACACCGCTTCCCGGCCACCGCTATCTCTGCGAGCCCGGCGGGCACCGAGCGGGCCCCGCCGCGCCTCACCGCCCCCTTCCGCGCCCGTCCCACGCGGCCCCGCGGAGCGCCTGTAGCCGCCGCCGGGCCGCAGGCTGGCGAGCCGGGGCGCGCTGGCGGCGGCGGCGGCCGAGGAGAAGGAGGAGGAGGCGGGCGGGAGCCAGCCGCCGGCCGCGCCGCCGCCCCACAAGAGGATGAAGAAGCGGAAGGAGCTGAACGCCCTCATCGGCCTGGCCGCCGACGGCCGCAGGAAGAAGCCCGCCAAGAAGGGCTCGGGCCACCGGCTGCTGCGCACCGAGCCGCCCGCCTCCGACTCCGAGTCCAGCTCCGAGGAGGACGAGTTCGCAGGGGCGCGGGGCCGCTGCGGAAAGTGAGTGCCGGGAATGCGGGCCCTGCTCGGGCCGTCCTGCCCCGGCTCCGCGGGGGGCTGCGCTGCCTTCAGCCGGTCGGGTTCGCTGCTGGGGCTGAAAGGGGCTGTGTGGGGCTGGGGAGTGCCAGGGGACACCCGGAGCTGCGTGAGCGTGTCCAACCCCGCAGGTCGATAAAAGTATCATCGGGTCGCAGCGTGGCTTGAATTGTAAAAGACCTTAAAGATCACCTACTTCCAACCCCCAGCCACGGCCAGGGGCAGCTCGCACTAGACCCTCATCTGGCTTTTTTTTTTTTTTTTTTTTCTGTTTTGTGCTCCACGCAGCACAAGTTTTTTGTGGAATAAACTTGGGGGCAGCTGCTGGAGATGCTGGGCGCAGCTACCCGCGTGTGCGCGCTCCGCGTGGCACCGTCCTGCGCGCCGGCACCGCGCTGCTGCTCTCGGGGACCTGCTGTGCTTTTGCCAGTAAATAAGCTTTTCGGTTAAGTAACAGCATTAATAGTGGGCCTCTGTGCATACCTGAAGGTAGGCATGTCTCAGGGAAGCCTGGGCTTTCACAATTCAGAACGCTCTAGAAGTACTTGTCTGTAACATTATGGTAATACCTTGTCTTGGAGCGTGTTTTTCAAGCTGTCGGGGAGATGTGCCTGACATAAGTTTATGTCAGCAGAGCAGGATATTTTAGTAAAGGAAACCTGACAGCTGCTTTTAAATACGTTAAGACATGCCTACTGAGGATAAACTGAATAGAGAGTAACAGCCCTAACCTGACTTTATAGCCTTATTTATTCCTGAAAATACTCTTTGTTAGCCCTTGTCAGCCAAAATGTGTGCTGTTACAATGCTGTCCCTTACTTTGCTAGAATAGCATTTAAAGTAACACTTTTCCAGGCGCTGCTGTGTATTGACAAGCTGTTACTTTGTTTTCTGCAGGGGAGACTACCTGCGATGCTGCAGGTTCTGTTACCCTTTGTGTGCGTTTGTCATTCTCGCTGCTTGTGTGGTCGCGTGTGTTGGCTTAGTCTGGATGCAGGTGGCTCTCAAGGAGGATTTGGATGCAATAAAGGAGAAGTTTCGAACTAGTAAGTATGAATGTAACTACTGTTTCACATTTTCTTTGAGCAGCATGAAGAGTTTTTGTTGCTTGCCTGCTCAGTCCAAGTCTGAAAATACTGAGCAGACAAATAACGTCTGAATTGAGGAGTGCTCTCAGCCAAGAACACAGAGACTTGGTGAATCTAAGGTGAATGCTAGATATTCTTGCCTGCTCTGTATCTTCTGAGGAGCAGAGACAGTGGACTGGGTGGGCCTGTAGTTGCTTGTATATACATTTCTAAAATTCCTGACTTTGGTCTTCAGAGTGCTCTCTTCCAAAGAAAGACCCTGTTAAAAAGTTCTGATCAGACCTGTCAAAGCAGTCTAGATAATTCTGAAAAAAAAAAAAAATTATGGTCTTGTCTTGAACTCTTTTAAAACCTCTGATACTTGCTATTGCAATTTGAATGTTGCCTGAATGTTGTACTATATTTTCTCTCTGTATCCTCTGAATGTTTATTTTGCTTGCACTGACCTGTTCTTGTTAAAATTTTACGTTGGGCTACGTGTGGTTTGGAGTTAATATGTTTAATACTTGGAAGTGTGGAGTCAAGATGAAGTGTTTTACTTGTAAAGCTCAGATTTTGTCCGTCCATGTCAAGATTCCCATGCCAAGATTTTCAGTATAATAACTTCTGTAGGCTGAGGTAGAACAAATGGTGATATGTGCATGTAAGGTATGCTCTTGGCTCTCTGTACCTCACCTCTGGGCACAAGATCTGTTTTGGTGCCTTATGTTAGTAGTGTTTGAAATCCTGTGTGGATTGAAAAAGGTAAGCAAAGGTGTTGTCTTGGTTGTGACAAAAGAGGCATTGAGGAAGTGCACGTAGGGATTCATGGTGTTGGTGTTGAGGTGTTCCTGTTCAGGCATGTGAGGTGGGAGTTGTCTGCCAAGGTGGAGCAGGCTGGCTGGGTGTGAGAGAATTGCTGATAGGTGTGCTTTTGTGTTAACTGATAGTGAACTCTAGAAGTTAGCTGTAGTTGCTGTCCACCAGTTCTGGAGGATACCTTCAGTTCCAGGTGCTGTTTTGTGGCAGGGAGTGTTCCCAGCAGTGGCTGCTTCTGTGTTCTGGGTCAGGAACTGCTCCTCTTCGTGTACTCCTCCCCTTTAAGGGTGTGCTGATGGCAAAAGGTTTTGCAAGAGGACAGCATTTGTTGGCTTTGGTGTAGTTAAGTTTCATCATTCCTGTTCAACACAGAGCTCTTTGTTAAAGCAGCTGTTCTCCCTGCTTGGCAATTACAGATGGCCCTGTTTTCCTCTTAATAGATCTGATAGAAAAGCTGTGCTTTAAATGCTTTGCCTGGTGATAAATGTGTCAGATTTCCTTGCCATCATAATACCTTGCCTAGGAGTTGGATGGGAGCCTCATAATGAGGCACAGCATTTAAATACCACAGCAAAAAAGCAGGCAGCAAGAACAGCCTGGTTTTCAAAGGTAACATTTTGCCTTGGTGAAATGTGTGGGTGAACAGAGAAACAAAGGCAGGTGACCCATCTGTCATACAGCAAGTTTGGAAAAGAAATCTTTCTCTGAATCTTCATCCAGACTTTTTTCCTCATAAGAGCAGGTGTTTCTGACAGTATTTGGTATGTTCTGCCATGCTTTGCACAAAGTGAGCATGGGATGAGTGCTTTTTATGAACAAGACGTCTTTGCATCAAGTATCCTTGGAATAGGAGGAAGTCGTGTAGTGTTCCCTTCAGTTGTCAGCAATGATGGTAAGAGCACGGGGCATTTAACCTTCCTAGTGCTCCAAAAAACTCTTCAAGTGGAGTCCCACTGTTCACAGTGAGTGACAAAATGGAAAATATTTTGTCTACAGAAGCCTATGAAAATGTGAGATTTAGTGTGAGCTGCTTGTGTCAAATGCAGAAATTAGTTCTCAGTCTGTTTTGGCTGAAGTACACCTTTCAACGTCTTACCTGCCCAGAAGCATTTGGACCTTGGGTGATCCAGTGCAGATTTCTTTGCACCTAGGAAGTATTTTTAGAACTTGCTTAAAGAGAAGTGAGGTGGGTTTCTGAATATGCACAGCTTTCCAGTTTTATGTGTTTGGGCTTCTCCTTTTGACTGGATGGGTCACACGTGGAAGTTTGTTCTGGGATGTGCCAGCTCCACATCACACAGGCCCCACTGCTCTTGGCAGTCTGCTCTGAACGAGGGCTCATTGTTGTGGAGCCTTCCAGTGCTGTCTTACAGGGTGGATGAGCAGATTTTGGAGAACTCTGTCATCTTCATCTCAAAACCTTTGCTTATTTGTTTCTCAGACCTAGGGACTTAGGATTGCCTCACAGCACAGCTAAACAGCTTAGTCACTGCAGATCTGGAAGAGCTGCATTTCTGAGGCTCACTGGAATTGCTTTGAGCTGCATGTTTCCCCCTTCCTGTAGTATTTATTACAGTAATAACTGACTTAATTTCCAAGCACCTTGTTTATTGATTTGTTTACCAACAGGCATTAGTGCATAAGCTTATACATTATTTTTTTCAGTTGTCTTTCTGTCACACGGAGCAACTAATTACATTAATCTCCTTGGAATTCACTTCATTGTCAGCAGCCCCTCTGCAGGCTTGAAAAGGGCACTGAGGTTCCTTTCACCTGCCTCCTTTGCCCTGGGACTGTTGGCAACTCTTTATTCACAGGCCCATTACTATTTCATGTTCCCCTGTGGAGGTAATGCAAAATAACTGCACTAAATAAAGACCTGCTGAGGTTTGCCAGAATGACAGGACTATGCAAAGTGTTAAATTTAGTACAGTCTCTCTGGGTTCTCTCTGCAGATATTGGTACTCTTAAAACAAAAAAGAGCTGTCATTCTGAGCAAACACTGAATCCAGACTGGCAATAAATCTGTATGTAGAAACTGTTATTGCCTTCTTTTACTGTTGTAGATGTTGCTGTTTGTAATTTGTTTTATGCCTTTTAGTGTTGTTTACCTGGATTTTTGTTTTGATTTGCTTTTAATTATTTTTTCATTTTTTTAGTGGAATCTAATCAAAAGACATCATTCCAAGAAATTCCCAAACTGAATGAAGATTTGGTGCAGAACCAAAAGCAGCTGGAACAAATTGAGACTGGAGAACTGGGGCTGAGTAAAATTTGGATAAATATCACAGAGATCAATAAACAGGTGAGAGGGAATCAGTCCTTGGTTTTGAAAAATAATAAAATATCCATTCAGTTCTTTTTAATGGAAATTAATCTTATCTGAGGACTTCTGTGGCCATATACATAGCTTTTATTTTTAAAGTTCAAATAGCGTATAAACCTCATTATAAACAAGCAAAAAACAGCTTGAGCATCCAGCTGGGCTGGAAACTGATCATAAGAGGAGAAATTGCATAACTGGAGGCAGTTCAGGCAGAATTTAAAAGAACCCGAGAACTGTGCAATTCTTAATTTTCCTGCCAAATAGTTGTGATGTTTATGATGAGAGATATGACATTTCAAA